AATTAGTTAATTCTCTGTATAAATTGTTTCCAACAGTTTCAAATAATCCAAAGTATCCATCATAGATTTCATATGTTATTTCGGCTCTAAAATTAGATTATTATCAGGGGTGTGCCTTTTCGAGTTTAGTCGCATCTTAAAATCTGTTTTGGCACACCCATTATTATAAATATCAAAATTTATTTTTTAAATGGCTTTGAATAGTAGAAAAAAGCGTAAACTATCGACTCGAGTAAATGTAAAATAATTTTAACTAAAATTCGAATACCTATCAGGGTGACCATTTTACCATATTTATAAGGCAAATTGGTGAAGGAATAAGAATCCAACCACACATTCGTGAGGTTGTTTTTAATAGAGTTTGATATGTTCAAATTGACTGACACTGATTCTATCAAAATATCGAGTGTCCGGCCTATCTGCCATGGAAACCACAGCCTGGTTTCAAACTTCAGTTTTAAATTCGACTATTTCGTTAATAGTGCCTTAAGAGCATAATATATAGGTAATTGTTATTTAATGGACACCATTTAGATAGATAATGAATTTGTTGAGGCTTCTGACAGTCAAAATACCTATACCAAAAATTTTATCACAATAATTATTAGCTTTACATCCCTTATCGCTCTAATGAAACAACCGGAAGCATTGGTGAGAGTAGTCAACAAGCCACCGGAAGTCATAGCCTCCCTCGTGATGATGGCAGCGGAGGGAATGGAAATGGAGCGACTGATACCCGCAGTGGTGGACATGGCCATCACAATTGAGAGGGCGAAGATGAAATGGAAATGACGAAAATTGAAGAGAGCCTAACATAAATGATAATGAAAATTGTTTAATGAATTGAAGAGAAATGAGTAGTTTTAGAAAATTTTCAATGCAAAAATTGCTTTTATTGAACACTAATTTTTATTTATTTCCGGGAAGATAAAAGTAAAATGCAAATTAGAATCTTTTAGTTAATGTATCTAACCTTCCTGGCTTTAATATGCCAATAACTTTCATAAATGGATCACAAACTTTATCTAATAACAATTTTAAAGAAAAAACATTCCCCTGTTTATCTGGACACGTTCACTTTTTTGTCTTTATTAATAGAGAAAGGATTAGGGATTTTGGGAGAAATTAATTTGTATAAAGCTTACAACGAGTCCACAGCTAGTCAAGATATACTAACTGAAAAAAGAATGAAGTTCTAAATGAAACTTAATTGCCTGAAGATGATCCCTGTTAATACCTGAATTCATTTTTGATTACTCACAATCACTCTATATCCCTACAATGGAATTCAAGATTTCAGCGCCGCAGGCAAAAATTGTTGGGAATTTTGGAAGAATATAGCCAACTTCTTCGTTTTATGAAAAAAATTTCAGTGGAAAAGTCGGGTTTTGGGTCGGGTCTTCGAAAATTTCTCGGGTCGTGTTTCAAACTTTCCTGCGGCGTATGGGTATCGGGTTTCGGGTTTGTTAGTCATGAAACAAAAATATCTCTAAAAACAGAAAATAGCCACTAAACGCAAAACTACCTCTAAAAATACTCTTTATTTTTAATATGTATGTATTGAAGACCGTGGTTCAAATAGATATTTGTTTCTATTAGAATAAATAGGGTAGTTTTCCAAAAAAGATAATTCTTTTGAATTAGTAAGAAAACTTGATAAAAAATTTTGGTTGGTTATATAGATTTTTCAAAAATAAATCTTTATGAATTTATGAAAAATGCATTTAAATGAAAAATATCCCGAATACGATATGACAAGTAGAGCCCAGAATTTCATGCCGTACCTTATTCCGTAACTTGTTCCGTACCGTACTACCGTTACGCATTAGTACGTTACACTCCGGGCTCTAATGACAAGTGTGAAAAAATAAAAGCAATCAAATTAGGTTACAATCTATCAAAACAATCCCAAAACAGGTTTTTATGACATGTCTCTGTAAACATAAGATATTCAAAAACTTTAAAAAACTCAAAATTTGATCACCAATATGAGGTCCAACTGTATAACGAAATCTTTTGTGACTTCCTTACTAATGCCTCATTTTCTGTTTCACTAAAGAATAATTGGTAGATGTCGACGAATATCTTCCAGACTTTCAAGTTTAGCAAAACTTAACTGATAAGCATGTAACAATTCATATTCTATCTCATCAAGATGTGTTATAAGATGAGGACGTTGTACTTAAATAATCAAAAAATATTTTTTTGATTACTTCAAGTTTCACTACCTTGATTGCGAAGAATAAAATTGTTTGTTGACGTGAAAATAGTTAAACTAGTTAATTCTCTGTATAAATTGTTTCCAACAGTTTCAAATAATCCAAAGTATCCATCATAGATTTCATATGTTATTTCGGCTCTAAAATTAGATTATTATCAGGGGTGTGCCTTTTCGAGTTTAGTCGCATCTTAAAATCTGTTTTGGCACACCCATTATTATAAATATCAAAATTTATTTTTTAAATGGCTTTGAATAGTAGAAAAAAGCGTAAACTATCGACTCGAGTAAATGTAAAATAATTTTAACTAAAATTCGAATACCTATCAGGGTGACCATTTTACCATATTTATAAGGCATTTGCCATATTTTTGACATTTTCGCTCTATTTTTCCCCTATTTTTTCATTCGCAATATTTTTACTATTTTGAAAAATGTTTACAATTCTTAGCATTTCGTAACGAAATGGCAGAAAAATGAAAATTCTCAAAAAAAATTCTTAAAAAATTCTCAAAATTTTCGCCTGTGGCGCTGAAAAAAGAACTTTAGGGAATGTTTGAGGGAATCCTTACAACTTTAAGGGAATGTTATGTATGGGATCGCACTGCTCGTAATTGGGGTTATTAATTTATAAAATAATTCAAACTGGGAAGATCTCAAACTAGCCGGATCTTTTTTAGAGATTTTTTGTTTCTGAACTTACGGTATCATTTCAAAAAGCTGTCTATACCCATCAACATTTTGATGATCATAATTTGAAAAAAATTGGCGAATAAGTGCGCGAGCCAGAGCCAACAAATGATAATAAATAAATAAATTCTTTTCTTTTTGTGATGGCCGTCGTAAACGGTTGTAAAGTTGTTCGCGTATTTCAGGACTAAAATTATAGAAAAAACTCAAAATTATGGACAATACATGGGAAAATCGAAATGAATTTTAAAAGTTTTTCAAGCCTCTTAAAACATACCTATCGTATATGCCCAAATAATTATCCTCTTTAATAATTACCCCCCCCCCCCTCAACCCATATTTTCTACACTAACTAAGTTTACAAATCTCCAAAATCACATTGCAAATATTATTTATTGGGACATTTTAAAAGCTACAAACATATATCAAAAATAATCCTCTGATTAATTACCTCCTCCAGCGAGAGGTTGTAACAATTATAGATGTCAGAGGTGGGTCGGAACAGTCAGAGGTCGGAAATCGGAAGAGCCGGAAATGTAATTCTATGTAATTTTTTAGACACAAATTTTATTTCAGAATTTACGATAATCACCTAATTCCGTATGTTGTAATCTGATCTGGCCAATTATGATTTGGATCATTATATATTTCAATTCCATAATTAGCTAAAAATTCTATATAATTTCCTCTAGTCATAAACTTTCCATAATCAAAAAGTCTTGAAGTAATTAAATTAATTTTTTTATCTCTAACATTTTGGTTAGTATCAATTCGTATATGTAGTGCAATCAAATATGGACGCAACGCATAATTTTTAAAGTGCTCAATTACCTAAATTATAAGTAAAATATAGTTGACCGGTTTACGGTTTCAATTTTTGACTGCCCCGGTTTATATTTAACCGAAATCGGGGTTTTTAGCTAATTTCGTATCAGAATATACTTATAAAAGATATACACAGCTCCACAAAAGGGTAATTCCAAGGCTGGTCCCCCCTATTTTCCTTTCTATTTTTTTCGATTTTTTGAACTTTTTATGGCAAATTATATATCGTTCGAAAGAGCTCTTCAAGCTGAGTCGAACGGTACTAAATTCATCGAAATCCGACTTAAATAAACATAGTTATGACCATTTGTTTTAATCCCTTTCAGCATCACAAAAAGCATGTCCATCAAGGATTTAGCTTTGTAATTTTGTTCAGAATCGCCAAATCTAACCGATCATAGTATCATTCTACTCAGCTCGAACAGCTCTTTCGAATGATATATTGTAAATTATATGTCAAGCAATATAGCTCAAAATGGTCAGGCGAACAGAAAAAAGGGGGGACCAGCCTTGGAATTACCCACAAAAGTATAAAGGCACTTGTATTTTCTAGATTTTTTTACTTTCAATGATCCAAATTTTTTGAAAATTTAGATACACACCTTTTAGTGAATAACTAATAAGATGTGCATCGATTTTTGTCTGATTTTTTATTTTAAAAATTTTTAGACAAGAATTTGCATTTTCAGCCTCCACAAAAGTATAGAGGCACTTTACAAAAAGATATTTCCAAGATTAGAAAAAATCTACAAAAATTCTAGCAAACATACATAATGATATTATGAAAAAATAAACAAGAACTAGACCCATATCTTTACCCGGAGCCGGGATCCTGAGAGCCCGAAAATCAACGTAAATCAGGGGTAAGGCTCTTTAAAAAAATTTTTCGACCCCTTATGGATTGTTTTGAATTTGGATTTTGGGCTCATTCGAAAGCACTTGAAATTTGCTACAAGATGGCATTATTCATATTTTATAGAAAAATCCATTATAAAGATACAAGCCATTAATTTTCTGATGCAGCAGAATGCCCCATAGGTTCTCATTAGTTATTCTTATTAGTTATTCACTAAAAGGTGTGTATCTAAATTTTCAGAAAATTTGGATCATTTGAAGTATAAAAATCTCGAAAATACAAGTGCCTTTATACTTTTATGAGCTGTGTATTTCATCAGACATCGAATGTGGCTGGTGTATGGATTTTTATATAAACAATTTCCGGATCGGCAAAAAAAAATGAAAAATATTTTTTATCAAATGTTAATTTTTAAATACCCACAGCTGTTATCTTTCTATTAAAATCCAGAAAAGTTTGATCAATTTGTATTTGACTATCAACAAGAATTTGTCGACCTTTACTATCAAGAATTTGTTCAATTGTAGTATTTTCATCATCAATTAATTCAACAAGTCCAATCGAGTTCAAAATTCGAGTTAAAAAAGAAAGGTCCGTAAGAGAGAAAATTTTTGGGTCCACGGGTTGTCGTAATGGATTGTTGCCAGTTTTGAGTTTAGCTAAATAATATTTTTTCATTTAGATTATTAGTTATTCATTATTAGAAGCAAGAGGGAATATGAGTGGACTGATTGTGAGTAATAGACTTTACCGATATCTAGATTAATTAATCGTATTCATCTCAAAATTCAAACTTGAGGGGATTAAGGTGGGTATCAGTGGATTCGTACCTGATGGAAGTTTTTGGACTAGGATTTTCGATAGGAGACTTTTAGTTTGTGATGAATTCTATTAAATTTTAGAAAAATATTATTCAAAATTTTATAAAAAAATTTTAATTTTCAAATTATTTAGACATCGAAAAACCCGTCCCTCTAAAATAACCCCCTTCTAAAATAGCCCCCCTCTAGAGGTCGATCGAAAAAAATAACCCCCGGGGCTATTTTAGAGAAAATACGGTATTGAGTTTATTTAAAATGATAAATTGACCTGGTATTCTTGGTCCTTTTCCTTCAATTAAAAATTGCAGCGGTGAATATGCAAGATATAAGAAAAACAAAATAAATGGAAAAAACATTTTCCTGTTTGTTTTGTTAACTAAATATGTAAATTAAGCTATATTTTAATTAATTTCAAATGAATTTTTTAATAAAAAAAATTTTTTATTGGCAAGTGGGGAGAAGGAGAAGGTTAGCTTTTTAAAAAATTGTTAGAGAATTAATAAAGGAGAGAAGAGAAGTGGATTTTCTTTATTAGTGATAGGGATTTAGAAAATTTAACGATTGTTATAGCTTAAGCCATAAATGGAAGTTGGCCAAACATAAAATGGAATACAAACCAAATATCGTTCTAATAGAATGCTCTCCTGTAGGACAATTGAAAAATAGAATGCCCTCTCCAATCGAATGCCCCCTCCCTTTTTGAATGATAAAATTTTTCAAATATTTCAGTGTCATCGTGGGGTTTGGAGGTGATTTTGGAGGATAAGGGGGATATCTGTGAATTTTGGGGATTTAGAGTAATATACTAAGAGATTTGAAGCAACCCAAGTTTAGAGTGATATACTAAGAAGAGCGAGCGATATTATGCTGATTTGGATGATAAAGTTATATTAGGAGATTTGCTGGGACAAAGGTAATATAAGGGTATTTTAAAGGATTAAAAGGATATTTTTAATTCGAAGGGAAGGGGGGGGGGATTTTAAATATGTATATATGTATAAGAGAGAAGATTTTTAAAAAATTAAGTCGATAATATGGAGGTAAAATTTTTTAGAGTAATAAAAATGAAAAGCAATGGAGGGTTAGAGAGGTGAGGTTAGAGAGTTGGGGAGAGCTGTTTCGAAATTTCGATTTTTGAGGGTTTTTTCTTTCGAATTTTCGAATTTTTTGAAAAAACCCAGACTGCCTTTTTAGGGCCATAAATTTAATAAGTGAAACTAAACATTGGTTTTTTAATTTGTTTGACTAGATTTTTGGTTTTTTTAAATTTTTCTTTTGTTAAATTTTTAACTATAAATTGTTTACTGAGATTTTCCTAGATGGTGTAGGTTTTTTAATTTATTTTTAATAGTTACTAAAGACTGTTGGACTCAGTAGAACATTTTTAGATGGACCGAATTATGGATGGCTCGAATTGGGTGCTTTTGTTCAAAGGGCCGAATTGAGGGATTTTATGCAGTGGGCCGAATTCAGGGGGCCTATTCCACGAAGCGACATTTACATCAAATGTCGCCACATCTGTCAATCGCTTGCCATTCCGATTGCGATTGTGTTCCAAAAGCGACTTCAAAATTATTTTGTGACATTGACATCTACTTTCAGTGACATTGACAGCGAAATGTGCGAATGTGTTCCACAAAGATTTAAAATTTGAGTGTCAATCGAGACTAGCGATCGAAATGTTAATTTTTGGCGACAAAGCGTTAATGTTGTTCGTTAATGGGAAATTGTGTTTTTAAAAATCCAAATTCAAATTAAAAATTACAAATTAAATATTTTTGAAACATTAGAGTGTCCTCTATTTTTTTATAAAAATTTTCTTTTCAAAATAAATTTACTGTAAGCCCTCGCACAGAGTACCTCATTTTTTAGCGAGGGTAGGTATTTTATGGGTAGGTATTTCAGCTGAACCTTCCAATTCAGCTAAAATTGTGAAGAAGATGTTTAAAGAAGGGGATGATGAAACAGAAGATACTTTTGTAAATAATGGTCAGTCTTTCCTTCTTCCTCGATTCCACTCAATTATGAAATATAGTTTATCTCACTTTAATGCTAAACATTTCTTTCTAATGCTGTGATTACATAAAAGGCGTCTTGCGGAAGAAAGTAGCATTCAAAAGAAGGAGAGACAAAATCGGGCCCTATATGAAATTAGGTTGGGAATCGTTTTTTTCCTCACTTGACATGGCATTTTCTTCCTTGTTCAACATTTTTTTCTTGTTCAGTTCCATTAAATTTGCCTGTGTCATCATCAAATGAGTAATGATCCTTTCCATTAATCCTTTTCTTTATCATTTCCCATTTGAAATGCCACAGAAAAATTTAATGGAACTGAACAAGGAAGAAAATGTTGACCATTATATCATGTCAAGGAAGGAAAAAAGTAATGAAAAAACGATTCCCAACCTAATTTCATATAGGGCCCAAAATCGCGTCTCCTCATTCCGAAGACGCTAAACGCTTTTTATGTAAGCACAGCATAAGAACTGACAACATAATAAGGTCAGATTTTATAAACAAAATCTTCATTTAATCTTTTCCTCTTTAATTTCTGCTTCACTGGAAAATGATTGCCAAATGGCGACGTATCTCTTCCAAATTTTCAAGCCCTTCAAATCTTATTTGATAAATATGTAGTAATTCATTTTCTGTTCGATTTAAATTCGTTATGGGATGATCACGCACTTAAATGATTAAAATTTAAATATTTTTAACTTTAGAAAAATTACTTCTAATTTGATTACTGGGTACTTATGTCGAATCCCCCCCCCCCCTCCCTACACTTTTCGTTTAAGATAATTGTTAGAGCCTCACTCTATATCGGTAAATACCCAGCTATACTTTTTTAAAACCGATGAATGTATGATCCGGTATTGTGCGTGTATACCAGGGATCTTGCCGACAATAAACCAAAATTCCCGATTTCCGGGAATCGGGACGGCAGGATGCCTGAAGTATACTATAACTCTGGTTTAGTAGAGATCTCTTTTCCCATTAAAGATTTTATAACAATATCCTGAATCAAAAAACCTTTGTTATTGCATATTTTAACCGAGCAACCGTCGATAAACAATGATTTTATTTAAACTAGTTCCGAATTTTAAATGCTAACCATCTGGATCTCTCCCCCTTGGAATAGAAAACATTCCTCCAAGTTTGGTTACTTACCGTAATTACCAAGATGAAAATTGGTTATTTCCGTAAAAATAGTTAACTCAGAGAGTAATCCTCTATTTAAATTGTTGGCTTCAATTTCAAATGAATGAGAATAAATGACATAATCTCTAATTGATATTTGAGCTCTAAAATTAAGATTACTATGAAGTATAAATTATGTAAAAAAATCCGAAATGGGGTTATTAATTCAAACCGAAACCCCTTTCTTTTCCATACTTACGGTATCGTTTCAAAAAACTGTCTATATCCATTAACATTTTGATCATAATTTGAAAAAAATAGACGATTAAGTGTTCGAGCTAGAGCCAATAAATGATAATAAATAAATAAATTTTTTTCTTTTTGTGATGGCCGTCGTAAACGGTTGTAAAGTCGTTCGCGTATTTCAGGACTAAAAAATGTTGTGAAAATTTAGGCATTATTTAAAAGGAGGTGCGAGTCATATTTATAACTCGAAATAGTCAATTCTCAGTCTAGGTTGTGAGAAGGGTCTCCTTTCGGATCCGAAATCGAAGAATCGAGGTTTGCGGTTCTTTATACGATTCAGTTCAGGATATCTCAAGACAACACTAGTCGAGTTATCAGCTTCAGCAATTAGAACTTTTAACTTGAGTGTTTATACCAGTTCAACTTGAAATAGGTTCACCTTATTTAACCTATTTTAGATGCTCTATATAAGGGCTGTGTGCCAAAATTTCGTGTGGCGCGCCAAACGCCAGATGCCAGTTTTCCAAATTATTAAATCACTCCAAACTCAGAACGCCAAAAATCGGCCAAAAATGCTCCATATTTCATCCAATTAAGGAGTTAGGAGGGGGAGGGGGCTCTCGGCGGGAGCTTTAATACAGAATCTACTTAACTACCTTATTGCATTAACAGAATCAAGTTCTGGGTATTTTTGCTCTGGATCATAATCGCCATTATCTATTTCATCATCTGTCATCATTAACACATCAATATCATTATCTACTATTTCAATTCCATAAGTAGCCAAAAACTCTATAAAATTCTCTCTAGTCATAAATTTTCCATAATCAATTAGTCTTTCGTAAATAAAAGAAAGTTTTTGTTGTACAACATTTGGGCCAATAGTATTTCGTATATGTAATGCATTCAAATAATGACGCAAAACATAATTTGTAAAGTGCCCAATTACCTGAATTATTAATAAATATTGCAACTCCTGGGCCTATATTTTCGGAGTGTAAAGTAATACTTAAATGTTAGGAAAGTGAGAGATGTGTTTCTTTACAGTTAAATATTTTTTATAATTTGTTTTCAAAAATTAGCGTTTCATAATAACACCACTTTTGTTTCTCATACTTTTAGAAAAGTTAAGTAAAGCAGCTGGGCGATAGCTATTTCTCTCCTTTAGCTAGTGCAAAAGGTTATTCGGCGGCTGGGAGCGAACCAGCATCTTCAGTAGACCGGACTGATGTGTTAGCCATTACACCACGCCGCCTACTGCATAGCCTTAGGAATTAAATAGCTATATGCTTTACAGTTAGAAAAATTATACAAAATTTCTGTGGTTATAGTGAAGCAGCTGACTGAGCTATTTCTCTCCTTTGGCTAGTGCAAAAGGTTATTCGGCGGTCAGTCCGGTCTTCGGTAGACCGGACTGAGGTCTACTGACATCCATTACACTACACCGCCTACTACAATGCCTTAGGAATTTATTATGTATTTTACATTATTTCCATCGATATTAGTTTGTAAGCAAAAAAAACGAAGTTAAATCTCAAAAAACAACGGGAAATCGGGGTACAGTACTTCAAAAAATATTTTATCCCCCTTAGAGATGGCATAAAAATCTTTTTATCCCCTCAGGGCCACAAAAATTTGCTACAAAAAACACTTGGCCCCCTCCTGAATTTCTATCAAATTTTAATTTTTAAATACCCACAGCTTCCATCTTTCTTCTAAAATCCACAAAAGTTTGATCAGCTTGTACTCCAAGCTGAGTAAGAATTTGTTGTCCTTTATTTTCGAGGATTTGTTCAATTGTAGTATTTTCATCAGCAGTTAATTCGTCTTGAACAATCGAGTTCAGAATTCGGATTAAAAAAGAAAGGTCAGTAAGAGAGAAAATTTTTGGGTTCACGGGCTGTTGTAATGGATTGCCGCCAGTTTGGAGTTCAGCTAAATAAATATATTTTTATTTTATTTGGGTATTGGATTTATTCCCCTCCTTATTTGGGTATTGGATTTATTCCCCGACTGAGGTAAAAATAAATTCACCAGGTAATGTTGGTCCTGTCCCTTCAACCAACAATTGTTGGGGGTAATATAGAACAAAGAAAAACAACAAAATAAATGGAAAAAACATTTTCCTTTTTTATTTTTTTGAATAATTAAAGGCAAATATTTTTATTAATGCCTTATGAATTTTTGGGGAGTTAAGAAAAAAATTTTTTATTGTTAATGAAGTGAATATATGGAGAGGGAGCGAATATATGGAGAGGGAGTGAGAGGGAAGTTAATTGTTTAATTAATTAGAGGGATTTTAAAAAATTTTTATTGTCATGCTATGAGGGGGAGGGGGAAGGATTTTCAATAATCAATTATGGGAAGTGGATTTTTTATTGAGGGGGGGATTTAAAAATTAAATCAATTGTTTAATTTTGCAAAAATAATTAATTTAATTGTTTAAACAATTTATGCAAAAAACATTTTTGCAGTAAATTGTTTTGCAACAACATTTTTACCCATAAACGATACCGGACTTTATATTACCGTATTATCTCTAAAGAATGGCCGGCCATTCTATTTTTCGATCATCCTCCAGGGGTCATTCTATTTGAGGGGGTCATTCAAATGGAGACGTCCATTCTATTAGAGATAATACTGTATTTCACAAATTAAAACCTTAAGACTACTCCCGACTTCCCAATAGGACCGTCATCTCCCGGCTTTCCTTCTTGACCTAAACAAGATTTTTTAATGATTAGCCGTTATACTTTTAATTTACCTTGAATTCCAGGCAATCCAGGAACACCATCACGTCCAGGCATTCCTGGTGATCCTATAGAGAATTTAAATACAAAGTGTTGAAATAACTTGAAAATCAATCTAACCTTTAGCTCCACGCATTCCTCTAACTCCTGGACGTCCAGCCTCTCCTGGTGAACCTTGTGGACCATGAGGACAATTCTAAAGGTTTTTGAAATGGTAATTTCTAAGAGTTTCCATAAAACTTACAATGCAACCCTTGAAAGGTGCATTTTGCCAATCTGGAGCATCCTCACCAGGAATTCCTGGTTTGCCTCCAATTCCAGCAACTCCAGCCTCTCCTTGAGCACCTGGAGGTCCTGCAGGTCCAGCTGGGCAATTATTAGCTGCTTCGCATTTACAGACAACAGGTTGTGCAGCAGCATAACCATAATTTGAGTTAACGTGAGGGCTTGAACGAGAATCTCTTTGCGGGTCTATAGCTTGTCGTCGCTCCCGGTTGGAAGGAGTTCCGGCTCCAAGTAGAAGCATGTCATTCCAAAGACCGTCGGACTCAGCCTGAATTTTCAATCATACTTTACATCTAGTTAACCTCCTAGGACTGCAACAATCATATTTTATGATGAGAATGTACCCTAAACTGGACATATTACTTAATCTCTCTGACACTTAAGCAACTCCCCAGTCCATTGGCTAACCAGCCACTAAAAACGTATCCTAAATTGAAGTTTCTCTAGTATTGGGGAGGATTTATATCCCTCTCCTTTCGCGCCGTTGGCTTAAATTTTGAGAATTTCTGAAGGTCAAGTAGGAACCAGTGCTTCGAAGCTCGTACCAAAATTCGTACTCGTACCTCGTACTCGTACTCGTACCTGGTACGAAGTACGAGTACGAGTACGAGCAAAAAATTTGGGCAGGTACGAAGTACGAGTACGAGTACGAGGCCAAAAAAAGTGAAAAGTACGAGGTACGAGGCCTAAGTACGAGCTTGTACTTCTCGTACTTGGGTTAATAGGAATATTAAAGGAATACATATATTTAATTCCTTTCATTCTCCATTATATGAGAGGGTGGCCGAGTGGTGAAGGTGCGTGGCTGCACCAAAGTCTCTAATTATTTAATATTGGGTTCGATTCCTATTCGCTAAAAAAATTTTAATATTTTTTTCATAAATAACTTATTTAATAATTTTAATTTTGTTTTAAAAATTATTCTATTTTTACATGGAGTAATTATGAGATTTTGACCCTCTAAAATTCTTAAAATATTTTACTTTGAACACTAAAAAGTGATTTTTTTCGCTACGGCCTTCCGAAATTTTCAAAATTTTCGCCTGCGGCGCTGAAAAATGGAAGAAATCTGGCTTAAGGACCTCAAAATTCTCAAAATTTTTGCCTGCGGCGCAGAAAGGGAATAGAGATTAAGAGGGATATCCGGAGATAAAACTGTGTAAAAAAATGTATAAAAATAATAACGTTCCGTGGAAGAGAATGAAAAACGGATGAAAAAATACCCGTCGCATCTTGGAAACCGACCCATCTTGGAGGAAATATTGCTCCATGCACTCCAAAATGCTCAAAAATTTTGCCTGCGGCGCAGAAAATGGATAATATTGGAGGATTTATGGCTTCAAAGCCTTCCAAGATTCAAAAATCATCGCACAAACGCTTAAAATTTAAAACTAGATGTCCTGGACTCCAAAAAATCATAAAAATTTTCGATTTTTTGCTTTTTTCTCAAGTACGAGTAAGTACGAGGTACGAGTACGAGGTACGAGGCCAAAAATAAGGGCTGTACGAGGTACGAGTACGAGCAAAAAAATAGGGGTGGTACGAGTACGAGTACGAGGCCAAAAAAAGAGGTGGTACGAAGTACGAGTACGAGCAAATTTGAAATTTCGAAGCACTGGTAGGAACACCAATTTTTAGAAGGGCAGATCCCTCGCTATTCTTTTAGATTCCTTGAACTACCCGGATATCACTAAAATCCACCTAACTTGATTGAATCCTCCGATATATACAGCTTCCTTTTTCAGCGCCGCAGCCGAAAATTTCGAGAATTTTGGAAGGCCAGAGAGCTAATTTTCTTTTTTTAGCGCCGCAGGCGAAATTTTTGAGAAATTTGGAAGACCATCAGACTAGATTTCTTCTTTTTTCAGCGCCGCAGGCGAAAATTTTGAGAATTTTGGAAGATCCTTAAGCTAAAAATCTTCCATTTTGCGCCGCAGATAGGAGCATAAAAATACTCGGTTTTAACCGAGTACGTCGAGTAGGAAGTTTCTGAGCTCGAGTAATCCGAGTATTATGATCCCGAGTTCCGAGTCGAGTAATTACGCAAAAAACCCGAGCGGTCGAGTCGAGTAACTCGAACTCGCTCGAACTCGACTTACTCTATTTTATACTCCAATTTTTAGCTATTTATAAGTACCGTATATAATGTATTTATTACCCTCCCTCAAATAATTATCCCGCCTCTATTATTTAGCCCCTCCAGCGAGAGATTGAAACAATAATTGCCCAGGGTAATTAATACAGTATATACGGTAGGTGTAGTTAGATATTGGATATACCGTATTTTTTTAAATAACCCCCCTCCCTTTAAAATAACCCCCCTCCCTTTAAAATAACCCCCCTCCCTTTAAAATAACCCCCCTCCCTCTAAAATAACCCCCCTCTAGAGGTCGATAAAAAAATAACCCCCGGGGCTATTTTAGAGAAAATATGGTATTGGGTTTATTTAAAATGATAAATTGACCTGGTATTCTTGGTCCTTTTCCTTCAATTAAAAATTGCAGCGGTGAATATGCAAGATATAAGAAAAACAAAATAAATGGAAAAAACATTTTCCTGTTTGTTTTATAAATAAATTAAGCTATTTTAATTAATTTCAAATGAATTTTTTAAAATAAAAAAAAAATTTTTTTGGGGAGAAGGTTAGCTTTTTAAAAAATTGTTAGAGAATTAATAAAGGAGAGAAGTGAAGTGGATTTTCTTTATTAGTGATAGGGATTTAGAAAATTTAACGATTGTTATAGCTTAAGCCATAAATGGAAGTTGGCCAAACATAAAATGGAATACAAACCAAATATCGTTCTAATAGAATGCTCTCCTGTAGGATAGTTGAAAAATAGAATGCCCTCTCCAATCGAATGCCCCCTCCCTTTTTTGAATGATAAAATTTTTCAAATATTTCAGTGTCATCATGAGATTTGGAGGTGATTTTGGAGGATAAGGGGGATATCTGTGAATTTTAGGGATTTAGAGTAATATACTAAGAGATTTGAAGCAATTCTAAGTTTAGAGTGATATACTAAGAAAAGCGAGCGATATTATGCTGATTTGGATGATAAAGTTATATTAGGAGATTTGCTGGGACAAAGGTAATATAAAGGTATTTTAAAGGATTAAAAGGATATAAGCGTTTTGATGTGGTATTTAGAGAGTTACAGTTGGAATACTGAGGAGATCAGGTGGTTGAAATTTAAGCGGAATTTATATTAGAAATTGGATATTTATTTTGTTAATTTATTTATGGCAGGAAATTATTTATTAAACGATACTAAAATTTAAAAATAAAATAACAACTAGTAGTAGAAGACTTGGGAATTACTCGGAATCAGACGTGGGCGAAACGTTTCGTTTCGTTTCGTTGTTTCGTTAGTTTCGTTATGTTTTTTCCTGTTTCGTCTCGTTTCGTGACGAAACACTTTTTAGTTTGTTTCGTTTCGTTTTGTTAACGAAACACCTCTGTTTCGTTAACGAAACATTACCCATTTTTTAGACCAAAATTCTACCCAAAAACTGAAAAATTTTCCCCTTTGGTGATCAAAATTCAAAAAATTTTTGCCTATGGCACTAAAATCTAGATTTTAAGCGCCTACGGCGCATAATTTACTATATATTTTTTTTAATTTCTCGTTTGATTTTGTTTTTTTAATATGCAAAGCTCGAATTCTATGCTAGATTAGGCATATAGAATCAATCTACCTCTTAATGCCAATCAGGGCAGGCGCAAGAGTTTCAATAAAGTTTAGTTTCAATAAACGAACACGCAACTGATGGCAATGATCATGAATATGGTTGCCTTTTTTCGGGCCTGTTTCTATCGAGTCGGGCCAGTACGAGACTTTTCGGGCCAAATATCTTAGGCTCGACTCGATCTTTTGGTCCGAGTCGGTCCATTTTAGCAACCCTAATCATGAACGTTGTTATCAACAAAAAATCTGAGTTGAGAAATATCATTGGATTTGGCGGGATCAATGGTGGTATAGGAAATTGGGAGAGAGTAAACGGGATATCGGTGGATTTGGAGGTTTAAAAATTAAAAAAAATGCCGGGAATCAGGAACGGGTTAAGGCGATAGTAATTTCCGACAAAATTAATTCCCGATTTTAGGGAATCAGGAAGTGGGTCGGCAGGTCTCTGATATACACATATTCTCAACACAAAATTGGAGCCTGGGACCACAATTTAAGGTCACACTAAGCTATTAGATCAATTATAGGCCATAACTGGCCTAATAACGAGTCTAAAATCGAATAATTAAGAAAATAAAACTGTTTTTATTAAATTTTTTGAAAATTAAAATGTTTCGTTTTGTTTCGTTTCGTTTCGCTAAATTTTTACTATTTCGTTTCGTTTCGTTAACGAAACGATTTTTAAAAAAATTTTGTTTCGTTTCGTTTCGTCTGAAAAAATTTTGGAGTTTCGCCCAGGTCTGCTAGGAATCATCCCCATTTTCTGGATTTGATTTAAATTTATCAAAGTTTTAACTTGAAAATTGGGGGGAAAATATAAAAAAATACGATTAATTTTAATTCGAAGGGAGAGGGGGGAGAGAGGGGGGGGGGGGGATTTTAAAAATGTATATATGTATAAGAGAGAGAATTTTTAAAAGTGAAGTCGATAAATATGGAGGTAAAAATTTTTAGAGTAATAGAAATGAAGAGCAATGGAGGGTTAGAGAGGTAGAGGAAAAGAGTTTGCGGAGAGCTGTTTCGAAATTTCGAATTTTGAGGGTTTTTTCTAACGAATTTTCGAATTTTTTGAAAAAAAACCCAGACTGCCTTTTTAGGGCCATAAATTTAATAAGTGAAACTAAACATTGGTTTTTTAATTTGTTTGATTAGATTTTTTGTTTTTTTAAATTTTTCTTTGTTAAATTTTTAACTATAAATTGTTTAATGAGATTTTCTTTGATGGTGTAGCTTTTTTAATTTATTTTTAATGGTTACTGAAGACTGTTGGTCTCTTTAGAACATCTTTAGATGGGCCGAATTATGGATGACTCGAATTGGGCATTTTTGCTCAAATTGAGGGACCGACTGAATTGAGGGGCCGAATTCAGGGGGCCTATTCCACGAAGCGACATTTACATCAAATGTAGCGACATTTGACAATCGCTTGCCATTCCGATTGCGATTGTGTTCCAATAGCAACTTCAAAATTATTTTGTGACATCAACATCGACATCTACTTTCAGCGACATTGAAAGCGAAATGTCGCGATTTTGTTCCACAAAGATTTAAAATTTGAGTGTCAATCGAGACTAGCAATCGAAATGTTAATTCTTGGCGACAAAGCGTTAATGTTGTTCGTTAATGGGAAATTGTGTTTTTAAAAATCCAAATTAAAAATTTTTAGAAACGTTTGAGTGTCCTCTATTTTTTGATAAAAATTTTAAAAATTTTCTTTTCAAAATAAATTTACTATAAGCCCTCACACAAAGTACCTCATTTTTTAGCGAGGGTAGGTATTTCAGCTGAACCTTCCAATTCGGCTAAAATTGTGAGGAAGATGTTTAAAGGGGAGGATGATGAAAAATAAGATACTTTTGTAAATAATGGTCAGTCCTTCCCCGATTCCACTCAATCGTGAAATATATGTAGTTTATCTCACTTTAATGTTAAACATTTCTTTCTAATGCTGTGATTACATAAAAGGCTTGCGCAAGAAAGTAGCATTCAAAATAAGGAGAGACAAAACCGGGCTCTATATGAAATTAGGTTGGGTATCGTTTTTTTCATTACTTTTTTCCTTACTTGACGTGATATAATGGTCAACATTTTCTATCTTGTTCAGTTCCATTAAATTTTCCTGTGGCATTTTAAATGAGTAATGATCCTTTCCATTAATCCTTTTCTTTATCATTTCCCATTTGAAATGCCACAGAAAAATTTAATGGAACTGAACGAGGAAGAAAATGTTGACCATTATATCATGTCAAGGAAGGAAAAAAGTAATGAAAAAACGATTCCCAACCTAATTTCATATAGGGCCCAAAATCGCGTCTCCTCATTCCGAAGACGCTAAACGCTTTTTATGTAAGCACAGCATAAGAACTGACAACATAATAAGGTCAGATTTTATAAACAAAATCTTCATTTAATCTTTTCCTCTTTAATTTCTGCTTCACTGCAAAATGATTGCCAAATAGCGACGTATCTCTTCCAAATTTTCAAGCCCTTCAAATCTTATTTGATAAATATGTAGTAATTCATTTTCTGTTCGATTTAAATTCGTTATGGGATGATCACGCACTTAAATGATTAAAATTTAAATATTTTTAACTTTAGAAAAATTACTTCTAATTTGATTACTGGGTACTTATGTCGAATCCCCCCCCCCTCCCTACACTTTTCGTTTAAGATAATTGTTAGAGCCTCACTCTATATCGGTAAATACCCAGCTATACTTTTTTAAAACCGATGAATGTATGATCCGGTATTGTGCGTGTATACCAGGGATCTTGCCGACAATAAACCAAAATTCCCGATTTCCGGGAATCGGGACGGCAGGATGCCTGAAGTATACTATAACTCTGGTTTAGTAGAGATCTCTTTTCCCATTAAAGATTTTATAACAATATCCTGAATCAAAAAACCTTTGTTATTGCATATTTTAACCGAGCAACCGTCGATAAACAATGATTTTATTTAAACTAGTTCCGAATTTTAAATGCTAACCATCTGGATCTCTCCCCCTTGGAATAGAAAACATTCCTCCAAGTTTGGTTACTTACCGTAATTACCAAGATGAAAATTGGTTATTTCCGTAAAAATAGTTAACTCAGAGAGTAATCCTCTATTTAAATTGTTGGCTTCAATTTCAAATGAATGAGAATAAATGACATAATCTCTAATTGATATTTGAGCTCTAAAATTAAGATTACTATGAAGTATAAATTATGTAAAAAAATCCGAAATGGGGTTATTAATTCAAACCGAAACCCCTTTCTTTTCCATACTTACGGTATCGTTTCAAAAAACTGTCTATATCCATTAACATTTTGATCATAATTTGAAAAAAATAGACGATTAAGTGTTCGAGCTAGAGCCAATAAATGATAATAAATAAATAAATTTTTTTCTTTTTGTGATGGCCGTCGTAAACGGTTGTAAAGTCGTTCGCGTATTTCAGGACTAAAAAATGTTGTGAAAATTTAGGCATTATTTAAAAGGAGGTGCGAGTCATATTTATAACTCGAAATAGTCAATTCTCAGTCTAGGTTGTGAGAAGGGTCTCCTTTCGGATCCGAAATCGAAGAATCGAGGTTTGCGGTTCTTTATACGATTCAGTTCAGGATATCTCAAGACAACACTAGTCGAGTTATCAGCTTCAGCAATTAGAACTTTTAACTTGAGTGTTTATACCAGTTCAACTTGAAATAGGTTCACCTTATTTAACCTATTTTAGATGCTCTATATAAGGGCTGTGTGCCAAAATTTCGTGTGGCGCGCCAAACGCCAGATGCCAGTTTTCCAAATTATTAAATCACTCCAAACTCAGAACGCCAAAAATCGGCCAAAAATGCTCCATATTTCATCCAATTAAGGAGTTAGGAGGGGGAGGGGGCTCTCGGCGGGAGCTTTAATACAGAATCTACTTAACTACCTTATTGCATTAACAGAATCAAGTTCTGGGTATTTTTGCTCTGGATCATAATCGCCATTATCTATTTCATCATCTGTCATCATTAACACATCAATATCATTATCTACTATTTCAATTCCATAAGTAGCCAAAAACTCTATAAAATTCTCTCTAGTCATAAATTTTCCATAATCAATTAGTCTTTCGTAAATAAAAGAAAGTTTTTGTTGTACAACATTTGGGCCAATAGTATTTCGTATATGTAATGCATTCAAATAATGACGCAAAACATAATTTGTAAAGTGCCCAATTACCTGAATTATTAATAAATATTGCAACTCCTGGGCCTATATTTTCGGAGTGTAAAGTAATACTTAAATGTTAGGAAAGTGAGAGATGTGTTTCTTTACAGTTAAATATTTTTTATAATTTGTTTTCAAAAATTAGCGTTTCATAATAACACCACTTTTGTTTCTCATACTTTTAGAAAAGTTAAGTAAAGCAGCTGGGCGATAGCTATTTCTCTCCTTTAGCTAGTGCAAAAGGTTATTCGGCGGCTGGGAGCGAACCAGCATCTTCAGTAGACCGGACTGATGTGTTAGCCATTACACCACGCCGCCTACTGCATAGCCTTAGGAATTAAATAGCTATATGCTTTACAGTTAGAAAAATTATACAAAATTTCTGTGGTTATAGTGAAGCAGCTGACTGAGCTATTTCTCTCCTTTGGCTAGTGCAAAAGGTTATTCGGCGGTCAGTCCGGTCTTCGGTAGACCGGACTGAGGTCTACTGACATCCATTACACTACACCGCCTACTACAATGCCTTAGGAATTTATTATGTATTTTACATTATTTCCATCGATATTAGTTTGTAAGCAAAAAAAACGAAGTTAAATCTCAAAAAACAACGGGAAATCGGGGTACAGTACTTCAAAAAATATTTTATCCCCCTTAGAGATGGCATAAAAATCTTTTTATCCCCTCAGGGCCACAAAAATTTGCTACAAAAAACACTTGGCCCCCTCCTGAATTTCTATCAAATTTTAATTTTTAAATACCCACAGCTTCCATCTTTCTTCTAAAATCCACAAAAGTTTGATCAGCTTGTACTCCAAGCTGAGTAAGAATTTGTTGTCCTTTATTTTCGAGGATTTGTTCAATTGTAGTATTTTCATCAGCAGTTAATTCGTCTTGAACAATCGAGTTCAGAATTCGGATTAAAAAAGAAAGGTCAGTAAGAGAGAAAATTTTTGGGTTCACGGGCTGTTGTAATGGATTGCCGCCAGTTTGGAGTTCAGCTAAATAAATATATTTTTATTTTATTTGGGTATTGGATTTATTCCCCTCCTTATTTGGGTATTGGATTTATTCCCCGACTGAGGTAAAAATAAATTCACCAGGTAATGTTGGTCCTGTCCCTTCAACCAACAATTGTTGGGGGTAATATAGAACAAAGAAAAACAACAAAATAAATGGAAAAAACATTTTCCTTTTTTATTTTTTTGAATAATTAAAGGCAAATATTTTTATTAATGCCTTATGAATTTTTGGGGAGTTAAGAAAAAAATTTTTTATTGTTAATGAAGTGAATATATGGAGAGGGAGCGAATATATGGAGAGGGAGTGAGAGGGAAGTTAATTGTTTAATTAATTAGAGGGATTTTAAAAAATTTTTATTGTCATGCTATGAGGGGGAGGGGGAAGGATTTTCAATAATCAATTATGGGAAGTGGATTTTTTATTGAGGGGGGGATTTAAAAATTAAATCAATTGTTTAATTTTGCAAAAATAATTAATTTAATTGTTTAAACAATTTATGCAAAAAACATTTTTGCAGTAAATTGTTTTGCAACAACATTTTTACCCATAAACGATACCGGACTTTATATTACCGTATTATCTCTAAAGAATGGCCGGCCATTCTATTTTTCGATCATCCTCCAGGGGTCATTCTATTTGAGGGGGTCATTCAAATGGAGACGTCCATTCTATTAGAGATAATACTGTATTTCACAAATTAAAACCTTAAGACTACTCCCGACTTCCCAATAGGACCGTCATCTCCCGGCTTTCCTTCTTGACCTAAACAAGATTTTTTAATGATTAGCCGTTATACTTTTAATTTACCTTGAATTCCAGGCAATCCAGGAACACCATCACGTCCAGGCATTCCTGGTGATCCTATAGAGAATTTAAATACAAAGTGTTGAAATAACTTGAAAATCAATCTAACCTTTAGCTCACGCATTCCTCTAACTCCTGGACGTCCAGCCTCTCCTGGTGAACCTTGTGGACCATGAGGACAATTCTAAAGGTTTTTGAAATGGTAATTTCTAAGAGTTTCCATAAAACTTACAATGCAACCCTTGAAAGGTGCATTTTGCCAATCTGGAGCATCCTCACCAGGAATTCCTGGTTTGCCTCCAATTCCAGCAACTCCAGCCTCTCCTTGAGCACCTGGAGGTCCTGCAGGTCCAGCTGGGCAATTATTAGCTGCTTCGCATTTACAGACAACAGGTTGTGCAGCAGCATAACCATAATTTGAGTTAACGTGAGGGCTTGAACGAGAATCTCTTTGCGGGTCTATAGCTTGTCGTCGCTCCCGGTTGGAAGGAGTTCCGGCTCCAAGTAGAAGCATGTCATTCCAAAGACCGTCGGACTCAGCCTGAATTTTCAATCATACTTTACATCTAGTTAACCTCCTAGGACTGCAACAATCATATTTTATGATGAGAATGTACCCTAAACTGGACATATTACTTAATCTCTCTGACACTTAAGCAACTCCCCAGTCCATTGGCTAACCAGCCACTAAAAACGTATCCTAAATTGAAGTTTCTCTAGTATTGGGGAGGATTTATATCCCTCTCCTTTCGCGCCGTTGGCTTAAATTTTGAGAATTTCTGAAGGTCAAGTAGGAACCAGTGCTTCGAAGCTCGTACCAAAATTCGTACTCGTACCTCGTACTCGTACTCGTACCTGGTACGAAGTACGAGTACGAGTACGAGCAAAAAATTTGGGCAGGTACGAAGTACGAGTACGAGTACGAGGCCAAAAAAAGTGAAAAGTACGAGGTACGAGGCCTAAGTACGAGCTTGTACTTCTCGTACTTGGGTTAATAGGAATATTAAAGGAATACATATATTTAATTCCTTTCATTCTCCATTATATGAGAGGGTGGCCGAGTGGTGAAGGTGCGTGGCTGCACCAAAGTCTCTAATTATTTAATATTGGGTTCGATTCCTATTCGCTAAAAAAATTTTAATATTTTTTTCATAAATAACTTATTTAATAATTTTAATTTTGTTTTAAAAATTATTCTATTTTTACATGGAGTAATTATGAGATTTTGACCCTCTAAAATTCTTAAAATATTTTACTTTGAACACTAAAAAGTGATTTTTTTCGCTACGGCCTTCCGAAATTTTCAAAATTTTCGCCTGCGGCGCTGAAAAATGGAAGAAATCTGGCTTAAGGACCTCAAAATTCTCAAAATTTTTGCCTGCGGCGCAGAAAGGGAATAGAGATTAAGAGGGATATCCGGAGATAAAACTGTGTAAAAAAATGTATAAAAATAATAACGTTCCGTGGAAGAGAATGAAAAACGGATGAAAAAATACCCGTCGCATCTTGGAAACCGACCCATCTTGGAGGAAATATTGCTCCATGCACTCCAAAATGCTCAAAAATTTTGCCTGCGGCGCAGAAAATGGATAATATTGGAGGATTTATGGCTTCAAAGCCTTCCAAGATTCAAAAATCATCGCACAAACGCTTAAAATTTAAAACTAGATGTCCTGGACTCCAAAAAATCATAAAAATTTTCGATTTTTTGCTTTTTTCTCAAGTACGAGTAAGTACGAGGTACGAGTACGAGGTACGAGGCCAAAAATAAGGGCTGTACGAGGTACGAGTACGAGCAAAAAAATAGGGGTGGTACGAGTACGAGTACGAGGCCAAAAAAAGAGGTGGTACGAAGTACGAGTACGAGCAAATTTGAAATTTCGAAGCACTGGTAGGAACACCAATTTTTAGAAGGGCAGATCCCTCGCTATTCTTTTAGATTCCTTGAACTACCCGGATATCACTAAAATCCACCTAACTTGATTGAATCCTCCGATATATACAGCTTCCTTTTTCAGCGCCGCAGCCGAAAATTTCGAGAATTTTGGAAGGCCAGAGAGCTAATTTTCTTTTTTTAGCGCCGCAGGCGAAATTTTTGAGAAATTTGGAAGACCATCAGACTAGATTTCTTCTTTTTTCAGCGCCGCAGGCGAAAATTTTGAGAATTTTGGAAGATCCTTAAGCTAAAAATCTTCCATTTTGCGCCGCAGATAGGAGCATAAAAATACTCGGTTTTAACCGAGTACGTCGAGTAGGAAGTTTCTGAGCTCGAGTAATCCGAGTATTATGATCCCGAGTTCCGAGTCGAGTAATTACGCAAAAAACCCGAGCGGTCGAGTCGAGTAACTCGAACTCGCTCGAACTCGACTTACTCTATTTTATACTCCAATTTTTAGCTATTTATAAGTACCGTATATAATGTATTTATTACCCTCCCTCAAATAATTATCCCGCCTCTATTATTTAGCCCCTCCAGCGAGAGATTGAAACAATAATTGCCCAGGGTAATTAATACAGTATATACGGTAGGTGTAGTTAGATATTGGATATACCGTATTTTTTTAAATAACCCCCCTCCCTTTAAAATAACCCCCCTCCCTTTAAAATAACCCCCCTCCCTCTAAAATAACCCCCCTCTAGAGGTCGATAAAAAAATAACCCCCGGGGCTATTTTAGAGAAAATATGGTATTGGGTTTATTTAAAATGATAAATTGACCTGGTATTCTTGGTCCTTTTCCTTCAATTAAAAATTGCAGCGGTGAATATGCAAGATATAAGAAAAACAAAATAAATGGAAAAAACATTTTCCTGTTTGTTTTATAAATAAATTAAGCTATTTTAATTAATTTCAAATGAATTTTTTAAAATAAAAAAAAAATTTTTTTTGGGGAGAAGGTTAGCTTTTTAAAAAATTGTTAGAGAATTAATAAAGGAGAGAAGTGAAGTGGATTTTCTTTATTAGTGATAGGGATTTAGAAAATTTAACGATTGTTATAGCTTAAGCCATAAATGGAAGTTGGCCAAACATAAAATGGAATACAAACCAAATATCGTTCTAATAGAATGCTCTCCTGTAGGATAGTTGAAAAATAGAATGCCCTCTCCAATCGAATGCCCCCTCCCTTTTTTGAATGATAAAATTTTTCAAATATTTCAGTGTCATCATGAGATTTGGAGGTGATTTTGGAGGATAAGGGGGATATCTGTGAATTTTAGGGATTTAGAGTAATATACTAAGAGATTTGAAGCAATTCTAAGTTTAGAGTGATATACTAAGAAAAGCGAGCGATATTATGCTGATTTGGATGATAAAGTTATATTAGGAGATTTGCTGGGACAAAGGTAATATAAAGGTATTTTAAAGGATTAAAAGGATATAAGCGTTTTGATGTGGTATTTAGAGAGTTACAGTTGGAATACTGAGGAGATCAGGTGGTTGAAATTTAAGCGGAATTTATATTAGAAATTGGATATTTATTTTGTTAATTTATTTATGGCAGGAAATTATTTATTAAACGATACTAAAATTTAAAAATAAAATAACAACTAGTAGTAGAAGACTTGGGAATTACTCGGAATCAGACGTGGGCGAAACGTTTCGTTTCGTTTCGTTGTTTCGTTAGTTTCGTTATGTTTTTTCCTGTTTCGTCTCGTTTCGTGACGAAACACTTTTTAGTTTGTTTCGTTTCGTTTTGTTAACGAAACACCTCTGTTTCGTTAACGAAACATTACCCATTTTTTAGACCAAAATTCTACCCAAAAACTGAAAAATTTTCCCCTTTGGTGATCAAAATTCAAAAAATTTTTGCCTACGGCACTAAAATCTAGATTTTAAGCGCCTACGGCGCATAATTTACTATATATTTTTTTTAATTTCTCGTTTGATTTTGTTTTTTTAATATGCAAAGCTCGAATTCTATGCTAGATTAGGCATATAGAATCAATCTACCTCTTAATGCCAATCAGGGCAGGCGCAAGAGTTTCAATAAAGTTTAGTTTCAATAAACGAACACGCAACTGATGGCAATGATCATGAATATGGTTGCCTTTTTTCGGGCCTGTTTCTATCGAGTCGGGCCAGTACGAGACTTTTCGGGCCAAATATCTTAGGCTCGACTCGATCTTTTGGTCCGAGTCGGTCCATTTTAGCAACCCTAATCATGAACGTTGTTATCAACAAAAAATCTGAGTTGAGAAATATCATTGGATTTGGCGGGATCAATGGTGGTATAGGAAATTGGGAGAGAGTAAACGGGATATCGGTGGATTTGGAGGTTTAAAAATTAAAAAAAATGCCGGGAATCAGGAACGGGTTAAGGCGATAGTAATTTCCGACAAAATTAATTCCCGATTTTAGGGAATCAGGAAGTGGGTCGGCAGGTCTCTGATATACACATATTCTCAACACAAAATTGGAGCCTGGGACCACAATTTAAGGTCACACTAAGCTATTAGATCAATTATAGGCCATAACTGGCCTAATAACGAGTCTAAAATCGAATAATTAAGAAAATAAAACTGTTTTTATTAAATTTTTTGAAAATTAAAATGTTTCGTTTTGTTTCGTTTCGTTTCGCTAAATTTTTACTATTTCGTTTCGTTTCGTTAACGAAACGATTTTTAAAAAAATTTTGTTTCGTTTCGTTTCGTCTGAAAAAATTTTGGAGTTTCGCCCAGGTCTGCTAGGAATCATCCCCATTTTCTGGATTTGATTTAAATTTATCAAAGTTTTAACTTGAAAATTGGGGGGAAAATATAAAAAAATACGATTAATTTTAATTCGAAGGGAGAGGGGGGAGAGAGGGGGGGGGGATTTTAAAAATGTATATATGTATAAGAGAGAGAATTTTTAAAAGTGAAGTCGATAAATATGGAGGTAAAAATTTTTAGAGTAATAGAAATGAAGAGCAATGGAGGGTTAGAGAGGTAGAGGAAAAGAGTTTGCGGAGAGCTGTTTCGAAATTTCGAATTTTGAGGGTTTTTTCTAACGAATTTTCGAATTTTTTGAAAAAAAACCCAGACTGCCTTTTTAGGGCCATAAATTTAATAAGTGAAACTAAACATTGGTTTTTTAATTTGTTTGATTAGATTTTTTGTTTTTTTAAATTTTTCTTTGTTAAATTTTTAACTATAAATTGTTTAATGAGATTTTCTTTGATGGTGTAGCTTTTTTAATTTATTTTTAATGGTTACTGAAGACTGTTGGTCTCTTTAGAACATCTTTAGATGGGCCGAATTATGGATGACTCGAATTGGGCATTTTTGCTCAAATTGAGGGACCGACTGAATTGAGGGGCCGAATTCAGGGGGCCTATTCCACGAAGCGACATTTACATCAAATGTAGCGACATTTGACAATCGCTTGCCATTCCGATTGCGATTGTGTTCCAATAGCAACTTCAAAATTATTTTGTGACATCAACATCGACATCTACTTTCAGCGACATTGAAAGCGAAATGTCGCGATTTTGTTCCACAAAGATTTAAAATTTGAGTGTCAATCGAGACTAGCAATCGAAATGTTAATTCTTGGCGACAAAGCGTTAATGTTGTTCGTTAATGGGAAATTGTGTTTTTAAAAATCCAAATTAAAAATTTTTAGAAACGTTTGAGTGTCCTCTATTTTTTGATAAAAATTTTAAAAATTTTCTTTTCAAAATAAATTTACTATAAGCCCTCACACAAAGTACCTCATTTTTTAGCGAGGGTAGGTATTTCAGCTGAACCTTCCAATTCGGCTAAAATTGTGAGGAAGATGTTTAAAGGGGAGGATGATGAAAAATAAGATACTTTTGTAAATAATGGTCAGTCCTTCCCCGATTCCACTCAATCGTGAAATATATGTAGTTTATCTCACTTTAATGTTAAACATTTCTTTCTAATGCTGTGATTACATAAAAGGCTTGCGCAAGAAAGTAGCATTCAAAATAAGGAGAGACAAAACCGGGCTCTATATGAAATTAGGTTGGGTATCGTTTTTTTCATTACTTTTTTCCTTACTTGACGTGATATAATGGTCAACATTTTCTATCTTGTTCAGTTCCATTAAATTTTCCTGTGGCATTTTAAATGAGTAATGATCCTTTCCATTAATCCTTTTCTTTATCATTTCCCATTTGAAATGCCACAGAAAAATTTAATGGAACTGAACGAGGAAGAAAATGTTGACCATTATATCATGTCAAGGAAGGAAAAAAGTAATGAAAAAACGATTCCCAACCTAATTTCATATAGGGCCCAAAATCGCGTCTCCTCATTCCGAAGACGCTAAACGCTTTTTATGTAAGCACAGCATAAGAACTGACAACATAATAAGGTCAGATTTTATAAACAAAATCTTCATTTAATCTTTTCCTCTTTAATTTCTGCTTCACTGCAAAATGATTGCCAAATAGCGACGTATCTCTTCCAAATTTTCAAGCCCTTCAAATCTTATTTGATAAATATGTAGTAATTCATTTTCTGTTCGATTTAAATTCGTTATGGGATGATCACGCACTTAAATGATTAAAATTTAAATATTTTTAACTTTAGAAAAATTACTTCTAATTTGATTACTGGGTACTTATGTCGAATCCCCCCCCCCTCCCTACACTTTTCGTTTAAGATAATTGTTAGAGCCTCACTCTATATCGGTAAATACCCAGCTATACTTTTTTAAAACCGATGAATGTATGATCCGGTATTGTGCGTGTATACCAGGGATCTTGCCGACAATAAACCAAAATTCCCGATTTCCGGGAATCGGGACGGCAGGATGCCTGAAGTATACTATAACTCTGGTTTAGTAGAGATCTCTTTTCCCATTAAAGATTTTATAACAATATCCTGAATCAAAAAACCTTTGTTATTGCATATTTTAACCGAGCAACCGTCGATAAACAATGATTTTATTTAAACTAGTTCCGAATTTTAAATGCTAACCATCTGGATCTCTCCCCCTTGGAATAGAAAACATTCCTCCAAGTTTGGTTACTTACCGTAATTACCAAGATGAAAATTGGTTATTTCCGTAAAAATAGTTAACTCAGAGAGTAATCCTCTATTTAAATTGTTGGCTTCAATTTCAAATGAATGAGAATAAATGACATAATCTCTAATTGATATTTGAGCTCTAAAATTAAGATTACTATGAAGTATAAATTATGTAAAAAAATCCGAAATGGGGTTATTAATTCAGACCGAAACCCCTTTCTTTTCCATACTTACGGTATCGTTTCAAAAAACTGTCTATATCCATTAACATTTTGATCATAATTTGAAAAAAATAGACGATTAAGTGTTCGAGCTAGAGCCAATAAATGATAATAAATAAATAAATTTTTTTCTTTTTGTGATGGCCGTCGTAAACGGTTGTAAAGTCGTTCGCGTATTTCAGGACTAAAAAATGTTGTGAAAATTTAGGCATTATTTAAAAGGAGGTGCGAGTCATATTTATAACTCGAAATAGTCAATTCTCAGTCTAGGTTGTGAGAAGGGTCTCCTTTCGGATCCGAAATCGAAGAATCGAGGTTTGCGGTTCTTTATACGATTCAGTTCAGGATATCTCAAGACAACACTAGTCGAGTTATCAGCTTCAGCAATTAGAACTTTTAACTTGAGTGTTTATACCAGTTCAACTTGAAATAGGTTCACCTTATTTAACCTATTTTAGATGCTCTATATAAGGGCTGTGTGCCAAAATTTCGTGTGGCGCGCCAAACGCCAGATGCCAGTTTTCCAAATTATTAAATCACTCAAAACTCAGAACGCCAAAAATCGGCCAAAAATGGACGCCAAACGCCATGACGCACAGCCCTGCTCCATAATTCATCCATTTAAGGAGTTATGAGGTGGGCTCTATACGAGGGCTTTATTACAGAATCTACCTTATTGCATTAACAGAATCAAGTTCTGGGTATTTTTGCTCTGGATCATAATCCCCATTATCTATTTCATCATCCGTCATCATTAACACATCAATATCATTATCTACTATTTCAATTCCATAAGTACCCAAAAACTCTATAAAATTCTCTCTAGTCATAAACTTTCCATAATCAATTAGTCTTTCGTAAATAAAAGAAAGTTTTTGTTGTACAACATTTGGGCCAATAGTATTTCGTATATGTAATGCATTCAAATAATGACGCAAAACATAATTTGTAAAGTGCCCAATTACCTGAATTATAAATAAATATTGCAACTCCTGGGCCTATATTTTCGGAGTTATGTATACACAACTTTAATTTCTCATACTAGAAATGTTGGAAAAATTCTACAAAATTTCTGTGGTTAAAGTAAAGCTGCTGACTGAGCTACATATAGCTATTTCTCTCCTTTGGCTAGTGCAAAAGGTTATTCGGCGGTAGATTCGGCGGTGAGTCCGGTCTTCAGTAGACCGGACTGATGTTTTATCCATTACACCACGCCGCCCACTACAATGCCTTACATACTAGATCCATCGATATCTAGTATGTAAACAAAAATAACGAAGTTTATAAACGCTTTCTTCATTGAGATCTCAAATCTCAAAAAACAACGGGAATGGGGGCAAAATAATTCAAAAAATATTTTATCACACTTAGTGATGAAATTTGTCTATTTATCCCGTCAGAAAGATCACGAAATGTGTTACAAAAAACACTTGGCTCCCTCCTGAATCAAATTTTAATTTTTAAATACCCACAGCTTCCATCTTTCTTCTAAAATCCACAAAAGTTTGATCAGCTTGTATTCCAAGCTGAGTAAGAATTTGTTGTCCTTTATTTTCGAGGATTTGTTCAATTGTAGTATTTTCATCAGCAGTTAACTCGTCTTGAACAATCGAGTTCAGAATTCGGATTAAAAAAGAAAGGTCAGTAAGAGAGAAAATTTTTGGGTTCACGGGTTGTTGTAATGAATTGCCGCCAGTTTGGAGTTCAGCTAAATTATATATTTTTAGTTTATTTGGGTATAGGATGTGGTAAAATAAAATTATTTATTTTTACCGACTCATTTGTCAGGTAAAAATTAGTGTGCGGCACCGGACCGGATCCGGCCGGATTTTCGGAGTCCGGATCCCAGATCCGGTTTTTTTGAAATTTCCGGACTAAACCCGGACCGGATTAATCCGGAAAAATCCGGCCGGATCCGGTCCGGCATGGGTGTGAAATTCAAAATCATTTTTCCGGACCCGGAAAAATGATTTTGCCGCGCACTAGTAAAAATAAATAAATTAACCTGGTATTCTTGGTCCTGTCCCTTTAACCAAAAATTGTTGCGGGCCAAAGAAAAACAACAAAATAAATGCAAAAAACATTTTTCTTTTTTGTTTTGTTGAATAATTAAAGGCAAATATTTTTATTAATGCCTTATGAATTTTAATTTAAAAAATTTTTTATTGGCAGGGAAGTGAATTTATGGAGAGGGAGTGAGAGGGAAGTTAATTGTTTAAGCAATTAGAGGGATTTTAAAAAATTTTTATTGTCATGCTATGAGGGGGAGGGGGAAGGATTTTCAATAATCAATTATGGGAAGTGGATTTTTTATTGAGAGGGGGGGGGGATTTAAAAATTAAATCAATTGTTTAATTTTGCAGAAATAATTAATTAAATTATTTAAACAATTTATGCAAAAATATATTTTAGTGAAATTGTTTTGCAAAAACATTTTTACTTCTAGAAATACCGAAATTTATATTAGTATTTCACAAATTAAAACTTTAAGACTACTATGTATTTAGAATCTCTATCAAACATATTAACATTTTTTGATCCTGCATCTTCCTGGCAGTTATTGCCAGAAGCTTCTTCCTCTCTTAATTACAAATGCCTTCACTTTTTTAATAAATTTTAAACCCCTCCTAGTATTTTAAATTCTCGCTACAATATAATCGTATCAGGGTTCTAGCCGACCCGATTCCCGAAAATCGGGAATTTCCCGATATTTTTTGGTCGTGAATTTCCAATTCCCGAAAATCGGGAATTTCAATTATGTATTTAAAATTTCTATACAACTTTTATGTTTATTTAAATAATACGATAAAATTTTTAGTGACTTTTTTAACATAATTAAATGTCCATTACATTTCTTTAAAAATATTTTTTTCAATTTCTTAATTCACAACTTCTCTCTATTCTTCATCATTCTTCTATTTTTTCAATAATTAACGAGTTTTATATCCACCCCCGCTAGGTTTAGCACCACCACCGCCTGAGTAAGAAGCAGAACTTCCACCACCACTTGAGTAGCTTTCAGCAGCTTTTGGTTTAGAAACAGCTGCTGACTTGCTTCCATCACGATTTGGGCAAGGACTGAAAATTAGACCTTTCGTCGATCATAAAATATTTTTCTTACCAGTAAGCGGCATCCTCTCCTTGTTTGCCTCCTGGGCCTTGTCCTCCTTCTTCTCCATCAGATCCAGGTGGACCTTGGAATCCGTGAGGGCCAGGTACTCCTGCTGGTCCAGGCTTTCCAATTGGACCTTCTTCTCCCTTTGGTCCTTTTGTCCCTTCCGGTCCAGGCTCTCCAGGTGGTCCACGTGGTCCGCGACGACCAATCTGCTTTTCTTCATCTTTACCGTGATCTCCCGACTTTCCAATAGGACCGTCATCTCCTGGCTTTCCTTCTTGACCTAAAAAAGATTTTTGAATAATTTGGCCATTATACTCTTGATTTACCTTGAATTCCAGGTAATCCAGGAACACCATCACGTCCAGGCATTCCCGGTGATCCTATAGAGAATTTAAATACAAAATGTTGAAATAACTCGAAAATAAGTCTAATTTTACCCAAAAATAGTTATAATACCTTTTGCTCCACGCATTCCTCTAACTCCTGGACGTCCAGCCTCTCCTGGTGAACCTTGTGGACCATGAGGGCAATTCTGAGTATTTTTTAAATATAATTTCTAAGAGTTTTCATGAAGCTTACAATGCAACCCTTGAAAGGTGCATTTTGCCAGTCTGGCGCATCCTCACCAGGAATTCCTGGTTTGCCTCCAATTCCAGCAACTCCAGCCTCTCCTTGAGCACCTGGAGGGCCTGCAGGTCCAGCTGGACAATTATTAGCTGCCTCGCATTTACAGACAACAGGTTGTGCAGCAGCATAACCATAATTGGAGTTAACGTGGGGGCTTGAGCGAGAGTCTCTTTGTGGGTCTATAGCTTGTCGTCGCTCCCGGTTGGAGGGAGTTCCGGCTCCAAGTAGAAGCATGTCATTCCACAGACCGTCGGACTCGGCCTGAATTTTCAATCATCCGTACATCTAGATAACCCCCTAGGACTGCAATGAGAATGTACCCCAAGCTTGACGTATCACTTAATCTCTCCAACACTTAAGCAACTCCCCAGTCCATTGGCTAAGTAACCAATATAAACATATCCTAAACTAAAGTTTCTTTAGTATTGGGGAGGATTTAAAAATTAGGTATCAATCCCAAAATTACGTTAAATGTATCCATTTGTTTATCCAATTCCATCCACAAATCCTGCATATCATTCCAAACTGCAAATAAACCTCCCAAGCAAAGGACCAAAGTTGCTCCGCTAAAAGCAATAGCCCCAACAGTAGCTATATGGGTAGTTGAAGAAGACATTTCTCTCTCTCTTTGAGAGTACTACTTTAACAAAATGGAGACTGATAAAAGAATATTAGTCCTTTTATATTAAAGACATATCTCCCTTTAACTACAAAAAAGGATATATAAACGTTAAAAACTGGTAATTTTGTTAATTATATTTGTTAGTTAAGAAGGGAATAATGCGCAGAAATGTCAATCATTTATCGCACAGGAAATGATTTTTTCCTTAATTTTTTCTTTGTTAGCCGCTAAAAGGTAGAAGAGAACTTTTATTCGAAGAATAAACAAAAGATTCTCGTTTAAATCCGCAAGTTTTTATAAGAAAACTTGCGGATAAATTACTTATAAATGAGAAAAAACGTCAAATGTTGATCGACGCTAAACCCCCCAACGTGTAAAAAAGAACAGGATTAGCGCAACCACAATTTAGTAATTTAACAAAAAATACCTAACTAGTAATTTATCAAAAGTTTAGCAAAAAGATTAATGTTTGGAAAGAAAAATTTGGAAAGAAAAATTTAAAAAATTCAACTTCATCGTATAACAATTTTGAAGACTCGGTCGAAGTCAACTCGATTTTCTTTTCAATTCGAGTCGGCTTTCCTTTCAATAGTATACCGTATATATTTTATTTATTACCCTCCCTTGAATAATACCCTCTCTTAAATAATTACCCCCACCAGCGAGTGATCGAAAAAATAATTGCCCGGGATAATTAACACAGTTTTTACGGTAGAAGAATAAATATGATTCAGAAAATTAGAAATAATGTTCAATGATTTTTGAAAAAAAAATAAAATAAAAGTTTGTGTCCACACTAAACTACAAGGTAACATACATAATAAGAATGTCTATAATCTTGAAGTTTATAGGGCATCTATTTACTATAATTTATTACAACATTTTATAACTTAATGACAGATAAATTATTATTGCAAATACATATATAGGTGCCAGAAAGACACAAAATTACAATTTCCGGCACTTCAGGTTGCTTTCAACAATCTCAAAAATATTTAAAAAAAAATTTTTTTATACGTCACAATCAGACCCCGTCAGCCCCACTTCCAATTGAAGAAATTAGTCAAATAAAAAGGTGTAAAAATTTTAAAAATTAAACCAAAAAAGACGAAAAAATCAAAAATCATTCCCTTAATTTAGTGTATTTTACTCTCAAAAATATTTTAAAAAAATATTAAAATATATAATTAATCTTCTATAAATATTTTTTATTTTTACGAATATTTTGAACGATTCTTTTACACTATTCACAATTAGGCGAAAACATTTTTTGACCAAAATTTTTGTTAAAGTTTTCGCAAATTAATTTGATAAATATTGAAGAAAACAATTTTAAAAATATATATTTAAATTAATCAAAAAATTGTTTGTCAATAAAATGTTCAGAGAAAATTAAATTTTAGAAAAAAATAACCTTCCCTTTATTTCTTCTCCAACCTACCCCTCCCATCCTCTCTCTCTTCTCCCCCTCCCTCCAACCTACCCTCCTCAATCGCCATCATCTACCTCTCCCCTTCACCCCCTTCTCCCTCCCCTTCTCCTCCAACCTACCCATACCCCTCTTTTCTCATTTTATTTTTTAAATTTAACCAAATAAAATGTTAATTAATTTAAATATTTTACTAATTTTTTATTTTCCCCTATTTTTATTAAATACAAAATTAACTCAATCTGTCCATATTAGTATTGATATAAATCCGGAAAAATTTGAAAGAATTATTTCTTTAAAAGAATCAAATGAATATTACAAAAATGAGGAAAATAATGATTTTGTAAAACATTTATCTTCCTTGAAAAATAAAGAGGTTGGAAATCTTTTTATTGAGGTTTTGTGTGTTGATATTAGAGGATAGAATTTTTATAGAGCCTGGACCTGTTCCTGGACTCTGGACTGGATCCTGGGCCTGTAGTCTGCAAAATAGAAATATATGGCTTGTCAACAGAATCTATGAATAATTCGAATATGCCCCAGAGTTGATATTGTAAGGATGATTTACCTAGAGAATTTAAAACGCTTAGGCGGTGGTTCACCGATCTACAAAGATAAAGAAAACATTAGTTGTTGCCCCGGTAGTTCAGAGGTAGAGCTCCTGTATATGGTGAGCCCTAGCAATAACTAAGAGGAGGTCGCAGGTCCTGCCGGCGGCTAAACGTTTCTTTTTTCTAGCTAGAAAATTGGAAGAAAGCTCACAAATGTGGAATGACAATATCACAAAAGATCAAGTTTAAAAAGGTTTTTAAAAAATCTGAAAAAAATTTCTTTTCTCAATTTAAAGGAATTAAAAGACTTTTTGGAAGCAAAAACTTCTCAAATGTATCCTGAAAGTTTTAATATTCGAGTAGACAATAAAGTTGAAGCAGAAATTTATTCAACAAGAATTAAACATTATGTTCCTCCACATTTTACATTTCGGGTTAGATTTCTTTTCAAATTATTTTTAAAGTCAGACACTCATTATAAGGTATATGTGCGTGTTTTGAAAATTAAAAAAAAATAATCTGCAAGTGTCAGGCGAGTTTAGTAGCGCTGTTAGTTAGTCCTCTAACCAAATTTTTTAAATTCTATGTAAACAAGAATCCAAAATTTCTCCAGCCGTACATATGGTCCAAAGATACCGTATTTACTTGATTAATTCCCCCGAGGAATTATTTTTTCAACTCATCCCTGGCATGGGGAATTAATAGGGGGTGGGGAATTATTCGAGTTTTGAAATTTGAACGTGTATTAGGGTATTTGGGGGTGGGGAATTATTTTTTCAACTCATCCCTGGCATGGGGAATTAATAGGGGGTGGGGAATTATTCGAGTTTTGAAATTTGAACGTGTATTAGGGTATTTGGGGGTGGGGAATTATTTTTTCAACTCATCCCTGGCATGGGGAATTAATAGGGGGTGGGGAATTATTCGAGTTTTGAAATTTGAACGTGTATTAGGGTATTTGGGGGTGGGGAATTATTTTTTCAACTCATCCCTGGCATGGGGAATTAATAGGGGGTGGGGAATTATTCGAGTTTTGAAATTTGAACGTGTATTAGGGTATTTGGGGGTGGGGAATTATTTTTTCAACTCATCCCTGGCATGGGGAATTAATAGGGGGTGGGGAATTATTCGAGTTTTGAAATTTGAACGTGTATTAGGGTATTTGGGGGTGGGGAATTATTTTTTCAACTCATCCCTGGCATGGGGAATTAATAGGGGGTGGGGAATTATTCGAGGGTGGAGAATTAATCGAGTAAATACGGTACATATTAAGATAACATAATATCGACAAATCGAATTTATTTTATCTGTAAAAGTGGACTAACGTTCGGACGGTATTATGGTCAGACTGTGATTTGTCCCTCCTTATACAAAGACCAACGAATTTAAAAAAACATCTTAATTCGAAGTGTATTCTCATAATGAGAGGGTCTAACTGTATATTTTATTTTATACTTTAATTTTCAGCATTTCTGCCCTCAAAATATTTCATATTTCCCAATTATTTCACTAATTGGTGGAGCTCTATCAATTCGAGCACATTATAGTTCAATCAACACTACCGGCGATTTACATGTTCAAGTTGGGGCAATGAGGGCTGAATACGAAAAATCAAATAATTCCAACTTTGTTGAGTGCCACTCAAAAGTCGGACTTGTAAATGTTCTTTTTAGCCCCGAATTAAGTCCAGAAGTGGACAAGGCATTTACTGAAGATGTTAAAGACAAAATTAAAGAAATATTGTGTAATCAACTGATAAAATTTGTTCAGCAAAACGAACAGAAAAACAAGGAATAATGTTAGAGAAAATCAAAACTCCTCTAATTCAAAACGTCCAAGAGAGAAAAATAAGCCAAATTGTAGAGGGAAAATTTTGATAATTTTATTAAGGGACACGCCCAAGTAGGCGCGCGCCATAACTACGCAAAGCCATAACTTTTTGGAAAATTTCTCGCTCTTAACAATTTTGATACCAATTTCTTTAGCTCGATGAGAGGAATCGTTTAATACTAAATTTGTTAAGATTCGGAAATCTTGAAGCAAGTTGTGGTTTTGCGCCGTTATGGCCGCGCGCCGACTTGGGCTTTTATTAAAAATTGATTTTTTTAATTTTAAAATTTTTTTAAAACTAAATAAAATTAAAAACAAAATATTTATTTAAATTAAATTCCGTGTTCTTTCCTAATCTTTTTGGCTTCCTCAAAGGCCATTTGTTCTCTCAAAAATTTAGCATGCTCCTCCCGACGCTTATTCTCTTTAAATTCTTCATAAAAATTTTTGAATTGTTCGGTGGCCTTTTTGGCCCTTTCATTATTGTAATATGGATTTGTTTCTCTCCATTTTTTCTAAATTAGAAAAGAAATTAAAATTCCGCAAAAAATATCCGCAAACCCAAAAAATGTCCGCAAATAAAGTCCGCAAGAATTCAAATACCCGGCTCCTGTCCAAATTACACATCCAAACAAATTTTCGTACGTCAAATTAATTCAGATAGTAAGTACTCGGTTCAATTTAATACCATAAAATTTATGGGAATAGAAAGCTCTGCTCATCCAGGGTAAAGGTTCTAACACACAGAACCGGATACTTATCGACATCGATTGGACACATAAAAATTTATTCGAGCCCATAAATATTTCATTGTACGGTAATCTGGACAAGAGCCAAAATTTCGCAAAAAATAGTGTCCGCAAGTCTTTACCCTCCAAAATTTATTTTTCACAAAATTTCCAACTTACCATTTTTCCTTCCACAAAAGTGCTATTAAAAATCCAAACAGCAGCCACAGGAAAGAAAACATACAAGCAAACTTTTATCACCTCAGCTCTAAATTGGTATCTTCTAATTGGAGTATCCATCATTTTTCGATTTTGTTCTATAGCTTTTTTCTTGTTTTCGTCAATTTTGGCTTGCCGTTCCTTTCTTTCTTGTTGAGACAACATTTTTAGAAGAAATATTTTACCTAAAATGAAAGGGAAAAAAAAGATTTTTGTAAATAAAATTTCAGATAAAAAACTAAAAAAAGTTGTTATACACAAACAAAAATAAATTTTATTTTTCTCTAACTTTTATAGAAAAACAACAAAAAAATATTTTTGGCGTATTTAAATAAAAATAATTTTCTTGGCATTCTGTCTTTTTTCTTTTTTTATTCCTAGTGAAGGGCAAAATCGATTTTGCTGATGCCAGATCAGGGATGGGCGAAATAAAAAATTTTTTATTTCGAATCGAAACGAAATAAAAAATTTTCTATTTCGTTTCGGAGCGAAACGAAACGAAATGAGCTTGTTTCGGACGAAACGAAACGAAATAAAATAAAAATTTAAAAATATTTATTTTTCATCTCAAAAAACCGCTTAATCATATTTAAAATGATAAATAAGCACTCCAAAAGTATTTTTATTAACCCAATCGTTTTAAATCTCAGAAACCAAGAGAAGGCCTCAAATCAATCTATATCCACCTTAATCCCTTTAAAGCTCCACACCTACTTCAAATCCAACTTCATCCAACAACCATCATATTTGGGGATTAAGAGGGATATAGAGATGTATCAGGCCATTTGATTCTCCTTAATCCTCCAATCTCCACTAATCCAACAATATCACTTAATCCTATGATTTATCTAATATCAGTTTAAATCCCCTAATATTTGTTCCTCTAGACAGGAATTTTCTTCTAGAGTATAACTTTAAATTCTTATGCGGCAAAGTGCCAAAATCTTGTCTTCAGCGCCGCAGGCGAAAATTTTGTAAGTCTTTGAAGGCATAGAAGCCATATTCTTTTTTTTTCAGCGCCGCAGGCGAAAATTTTTAAAATTTCGGAAAATCGTTAAGCCAAAACTCTTCATTTTTTGCGCCGCAGGTTAATACTCAACCCCATGAAATCCTTGTTAATTTCTCCTTAATCCATCCATTAGAATCAATTGGGGAATATACAAAAAGTTTCAATTGTGCCGGGCTCAATGCGTGTAAACTAGAGGTCGGCGCGGGACGGGATCCCGACGGGATTTTCCGGGATCCCGCTCCCGAAATCCCGGATTTTTTTGATTTTCGGGATCATTCGGGATCCGGGATTTTTTCGGGATTTATCCCTCGGGATCCCGTCCCGGCATCGGTTAAAAAATAAAATCCCGACTCGGGATCCCGGACATTATTTTATAATTTTCGGGATTTTTAAATTAGCATATCCCATCTCCCAATTTTCGCCTGCGGCGCAAAAAAAATGAAGAAATCTGGCTTAAGGAACTCCAAAATTCTCAAAATTTTTGCCTGCGGCGCTGAAAAAGTGAATTATTTTAGCCTGCGGTCTTCGAAATTTTAAAAATTTTCGCCTGCGGCGTTTTTTTATTTTTTTTTTTTTAATTTTTTAAATTTTCGCCTGCGGCGTTTATGTGCTCCAAAATTCTCAAAATATGCGCCTGCGGCGCTGCAAACGGAGAAATTTGGAGGTATTATCGGAGGTAAAGTGGATGGATTAGTATATAGTGGGATTTTATCAAGGTACCTAGTGATTAATCCACCGATATCCCTTTAAATCTATTAGATTTTTACAAAGTTAATATTATTTACATATAAATTGCAGTATTTTGATGAACTTTATTTATAAAAATTTTAAATTTTTTATTTTAAAAAAATCCCGAATCCCGGGCGGGATCCCGGCTAATCATTTTCGGGATTTTTGGAATTCGGGATTTTTTCGGGATTTATCCCTCGGGATCCCGTCCCGGCCTCGGTTAAGAAAAAAAATCCCGACTCGGGATCCCGGAAGTGCGATTTTGCCGACCTCTAGTGTAAACAAACGTGTGGACTCAACTGAACTCCGAAAAATCGGAGCAGTTCAACTGAGTCCGCACGATTGAGTCCCCACGATTGAGTCCGCACGATTGAGTCCCCACGATTGAGTCCCGGCACGATTGAGTCCCCACGATTGAGTCCGCACGATTGAGTCCCCGTTGTATATACCTCAATTGAGTCCCCGTGGATTTAATTTGAGAAAAAAGATAGTAATTAAAGAACAAAATTGTACAATTATAATAATCTATTATTTCAAACAGGATGGCGGATATTTTAACTGAACGTAGAAAGCCTAAACTTGTTCATGATGGATATTTATTTGTTTTTCATAAAATGAACAAAGACGAAGACATCAAGTTTTGGAGATGTGAGGCCTTCAACAAAAAAGATGTCAGATGTAAGGCTCGCCTACATAGCGACCTCAACAACTCTGTTTTGCGTGAATTAAATTATCACGTTTGCGGCGTCAACCCTGCCAATGTTCAAAAGCAAGTTGTTGTGACAGGGATTAAAAGAAGGGCAATTGAAACAATGGAGCCTCCGGCCACAATCAGAGCAAATGCAATGGAGAATATACCAACGCCGGTTTTGGCACAACTTCACACAAAAAAAGCGACAAACTTGGTATTTGAATTTATAAAAAGTATTTTAAAAAATCGTTTAAGTTGGTTCAAAGGGCACGCAGACAAAATGCTGTTTTTCCTGCGGTCCCGCAGAATATTAATGAACTTGAAATTCCTGATCGTTACCAAAATTATCAAAGGACAGACGAACTTTACGACCAGTTTCTTCTAGCTGATTCTGGCGTTTATACTGAAAATAATGATCCAAGACAACATAGGTTTATTGTCTTTTTTATTTTTTTAATAGATTATTTTTTAGAATCCTCATATTTGGTCGTATGTCATTTGGGGAGTGGTCAGAACAAATGGAACATGTTTTTGTTGATGGGCTATAATATGGATCCATGAATATTTATTTATTTGAAAATTTTGTTTTAGAATTAGTGACTAGTGTTTATTAGATTGAATAAAGATTTTTGATAATCTTGATAACATTTTTAATTGTGGGATTTTACAAGATATCCCGCAACATTTTTGAAATAATCACGCATGCGGGATTTGGAATTTTTTTTTGAAATTTAAAGGTTAAATCCACGGGGACTCAATTGAGGTATATACAACGGGGACTCAATCGTGCGGACTCAATCATGGGGACTCAATCGTGCCGGGACTCAATCGTGGGGACTCAATCGTGCGGACTCAATTGAGGTGTACCGCCGAAAAATAAATTTATTTTTGGCAAAATGTTTGAAAAAATTCAAAAATTTAACTAAAATCCCACAAAATTTCCTAAAAATTGCAAAATTTTTTTATAAAATTTCCCGTCATTAGGGGTGTATGTTTATTTCGTTTCGTCCGGAATTTTGGCTATTTCGTTTCGAAACGAAACGAAATAAATTTTTTTTGTTTCGTTCCGAAACGAAACGAAAGGGAAAAAAGGGCACGAAAGAGCGAAACGAAACGAAACGAAATTTCGCCCATCCCTGTGCCAGATCCAATTTCCGGGCTTATTACTAGAGCCGGATCCTGCGACTTCCTTATGGGTTAATCTGGAGATTGTGAAATACCCCATATTTAAGACCCGCATTCCGGAAACCGGCCAGAACCTGTTCGTCGCTACTACTTCAGTCACTACTTTCTCCCCCATTTTTTTCCTTTTTTCGATAAATTTACCTAAAATTTGACAATTTTATTTATTTTTCTATTATCTTTTTAGTTTCTAACCTCTTATCTTAGTAGGGTTGCCGGCCCGGTCTGGTTCGAAAGATCAAGTCGGGCATCGAATTTTGGCCCGAAAAAGAATCGGTCAGGCCGGCCCGATAAAATTGAGACCCGAAAAATGATTCGAACGTCGGCCCGACTCGAAAGCCCCAACCCTAATCCTTAGCTTTTTAAAAAGATTTGTCCGCAAGTCGAGTCCGCAAAACTCAAAATTTTAGGCTTATTTTTCCCACATTTTTTCTATTCAATTTTCTACATATTTTGTTTTGTTTTTATAATTAATTGACTTGTTTTTTTAGTTATTTTTATATTCTAAATTTTTATAAAGACTTAATAAATTTTGTTTTTAAATGTCAAGTAAAAAGGTTTGTTTCTTTTTAATTAAATTAACTTTTGGCATAATTTAGTTATCGCCTAGCGAGGAACTTGAGAAGCAATATAGGGATTATAAAGCACAATTTGAGGAATGGAAACTAAAAAATCGGTTTATTTTTTTATTTTTTTGCGGGCAATTTTAATAGATTTTGAGGGTATTATTTCCGTTTGTAGTTAATTTCCCCCTCGTGCATGTTTTCAAAATTGTATAAGATAACAATTTTTGTAATAGGAAATGTTATAAATCCTTGAATTTGCTTGAGGACTTTAACTAGATTTTTTACCTTCAGCATTGGGTTGGATGGTTGCACAATCGGTTGTGCTTCGGTTTAGGCTTATTCCATGATGGTTCTATTCCATCTACCATCCAAGAATTTTTCCACAGCATGAACTTTATACAAAGAAAAATTTCGTGACTCTGGATCAAGGCCAATCTCAACAATTTAAGCTCCTCGACGGGGTTAATAAATTGGATCGAATCCTATCCAAATTAATTAGGCGGCTGGTTTAGTTTTAGAAAACTTTGGCCAACCTCCACTTTGACAGAATTTTTATTAAAAAAAATTTTCTGCAAAATTTGTCCGCAAACCTCTTAATTTATTTATTTTTTACTTTATAGGGATTCTGAAGGAACTGAGGCTTATGTAAATTATGTCAAACAATTCCATCAATGGGAAAAAGATGTTGAAAAAAGACGAGCAACGTTACGGCAGAAGGCAGAAATTGACAGAATATCAGCAGAAAAAGAAGCTGAAATATCTAGAAAAGAAACTGAGGAGAAGAGGAGAAAAGAAGGTTTTTTTGAATTTTAAAATATATTTATAAATTTTGGGGGTACTTTTCCCAATTCTTGTTAAATATTTGGGAATTTTGGACTTTATGGGCTACATTTGTATTTCTTTCCCTATTTTCTCCATTCCACCTCTGCGTTTAAACTTGGGTTTATACAAACTAAGTTAGCACCCCGAGCCTTCGGGAGTGTCGGGGATCGGATTTTTGCCAAGGAAGCCATGTCGGAGGTCGTAGTTGACTTTTAGGTCGGAGTTTTGGGGGACGGGGTGCTGCCCTAATACAAATTATAAGACGCGTACATTCTCGATTTTGACTGTCATTTTGCTTCATGGCTGCGTAGTTTTGGTGTGCTTTGTGAAAAATGTAGGGACTAATTAGCAATTATTCTCAAATTTGTCAACTACCCAAAATTATTCATTTTGATTTGCTGGAACTAAAATATGAGAAAATTGGGGAAAAATGAAATTGGGGTCCATAAATATAAAATCTCCATAATCTTCTCCCTCCGGGAAAATTTAATCAGAAAAAAAATTTCCAAAATAGGTACTTATTATTTTTAAATAGAAGCAGCAGCAAAAGCATATGCAGAAGAACAAGCACAATATATTTCAATGCATCAAAAAGCAATGCAAGAAGAACAACAAGGAAGGCTTAAACAACAAAAACAAATAAAAAATTCTTTTTCTGGAACTAATTTGGATTTAATGGCGTCTCCCGTAACAGATTTTCATTCATCTCCAGTTCATCAACAACAAAAATCTTTAAAAGGCGAAAGTAGTATAGGAATACCTGAAGATGATAATAATGCTTCTGGTTTGTTTCTTCGTTAAAATTTTTAAAATTTTTTGTGAGATACGAAGTAAAAAATTATGCTTTAACAAGGAAAGGTTACGAGGTGTCCGACCTAAAAACGGTCGAAACCGGGCTCATTCGTTAGAGAATGTGCCCTTTCTAGCAAGGATTTTTTTTCGGAAATTGGAATTCCGACCCACCTCTGCTGCGGGTTGAGTAAGAAAACTTGCATCCCTCCTTGACTTCCCTGATGTTTAAAAGATTTTTAAAACTGAAATACCCTACAAATTTTTCTAAAAATTTTCTTCCGTTGTTAAAATGTTCTTTGAAAACATTTTACTTTTTTGAAAAAATTTTCTTTTATTATCTCCCCTTTCAAAAAATAGCTTTTCTTTATACGTCTTTACAGGACAATTTTGTTGACCCTGTTTGTAAATAATTTTTTTATTTTATTTTAAAGATATGCTTTCTGCAATGCAACAAATGTTTAGTATAGTTATGGGGGATACGGCAAAACTTGCAGCTGCAGCAACAAAAGAAAAAAGTGCCAATAATAGTAGCAACAATTCCCTTTCTGCAATCCCTGCAGCCCTTCCACCTCCTTCAAATATTACTGAAACTTTACAAAAACCTGGAGTTTCTTCTGATTTGTCTTCACAACCTCCACAACTTTGGGGCAGTGAAGGAGCTTTGTTTTCTGCAGCGGTTTGCTTGAAAGATTTTTTAAAATTAATTTTACTTTTGGAACTCCTTAAAAAGTAGCCCAATACTCTGGGTACCTCTATTTAATTACGCTTTTTTAAACTTGGTTAATCCCGGTTAGTGTAAGCTTCTAAAAGGATACCCCCAATTTAATACCCCCAAAGCCAGTAACCAGAAAAATTTTTCGGAGGAAATTTTTTTCCTACCTAGCATACAATTTTTATTCTCAAGGATTTATCTATAAGTTCGGGTTTTGACTAATTTAAATTTTGGTTAATTCTAGGTTGAATGAACTGCTTAAACCATACCCCCAAATTAGGGTCCTCATTATTGCTACGCTTACATAAAAATCGCTTTGCGTTTTGCGACAGAAAATAACATGCAAAATAAAGAGTGACAAAATCGCGCGCGATTTTGTCTCCTCTGTTTCCATTATCTTTTCTGTAGCAAATCGCGCGCGATTTTTATGTAAGCGTAGCATTAGATACAATTTTTTTAATTTCAGTTGTGTATTTATAAGTTCTACTTTAACGAAAATTTATTCATTTGTTCCTCTAAAAAAATTTTCCCCCAAATTTTCTAATGTTAAATAATACTTTTTTTAATTATTAAAAACTTTTTCCTTGCAGGATCCAATGTTCCGTCGTTGGAATGTTCGTGCTGCTCCACCAAATTTTCGTGTGCCATACCAACCTCCACCTTCAGGAACGTTAGTCCAACCGGGCTGGCTTTATTTACGTAAAATGGAAGAAGCAAAATTGGCATTTGCTCCTCCACCCGATCTTTCTACAGCCCCACCAATTATTCAGCAACAACAACAATTAATAAATATACCTCAAAATAATTTACCCCAAATGGCGGGGCATCCAATGCCGCCAGCAGCTACACATTTAAGCGTTCCACCGCCCGCGATTATTCCTCATCCCCCACATCATCCCCACCCTCACCATTCCCAACAATTTAATCATCATCAACAATTCCCTCCTCCACCTCAATATTCTATTTTCCCTCCAAATATTCCCTCATTATTAATGGGTGGAAATAATTTATCTATTCCTCCACCGCAACATCCAAGCAATCCTCAGCAACATCCCCTTCCTCCTCAAGCAAATTTTCGTCCCTATTATAATTTGCATTGAAAGCATTTTTCTATTGTTTTTGTATTTCATATGAATTAATGAATATTTTTTAAGATTTCTCGCAATTTTATTCTGCTGTCAAGATTTTTTTTGTTCGCGTTTTTCCTTAAGAATTTTTTTAATGTTAGGCAGTTCTTGAATTTATAATTAATTATCGGATTTCGCTTTCCGTTTGTTCTCATTTGCAAAAATTCGTTTTTTTTTGTTTTTTAAATTATTTCAGCACATGCCAAGTCATAAATTCAATCGTCATTTATTTTAGATACAATCAGAGCTTATAAGCAGAGGTGGGTCGGGTCGAAATTCCGATTTCCGGCGTTTTTTCCTTCCAATTTCTGATTTCCAAAAAAATTTTTGATTTCCGAGTTCCGACTTTTGAGACAGTTACGATTTCCGACACCTCTGACTGTTCCGAACCACCTCTGCTCATAAGAGATACTCCCGATACTCCTCTGTTTAATTTACGTTTAGACCACTTTTTTGTCTTCGTTGGCCACTTAGCTCGCACCAAATTTGAAAAATTTGGTTGGCCATTCATTTTTCGTTCCCAAGGGGGTATCTTATAATGAAATCCGACATGTATTTTTTGGCTGAAATAATATAAATTTTCGTGTTTTATTTGAAAATGTTTTTATTTTTTTAAATAAATGTTTTAGTCTATAAAATTTGCAGATTTGAAATTTTTTGATTAGCAGCATTAAAATTTCTTTTATTTGTAAAATATTTTAAACTTGCCAAGTAAAAATGTTTGTAAAATAGAAATGCAGCTATAGTTAGAAACAAAGGATTTGGAATTTTTTTATTTACTGGCAATTATTTAGCGAGTACAGGTTCAGTTAATATTTAATTTGGAAAATTTGAGGTTGTGGGCAGGCCCGTAACCCCCCCCCCTCCTCCTGAAAATTTCACCCGGCTTGGATCTGGTTGGGATATAAGCACGGGTTGTTCCCCGACGGGGGGGGGGGGGACAAGGAATTTTCAAAAAATCTCAAATTCCTGGACTTTCGGCGACAGGGAACAACCCTAATAAACACTACAATTTTTGTTTTCGTACAATAAAATCATCTTATAATTTTCGTTTGCATAATAATGCTTAATTAAGGTTATCCTTGAAATTTCGTTCCCTCTATTTAATTCGTGTGCTTTACTACAATTTTCGCTCAAATTTTAACAATTTGTGCCTATTAAAAAACAAGGATCATTAAATTAATTTATTAAATATGGTTAAATTGTTTAACTGGTTAAGAAATTCAATGAGGTGCAAGGATGGAATTCTTAAATAAAAAATAAGTTTTCATGTTTTTATCGTTTTAAGAAACGTTCTCGTTCACCAACGCCTGAACCTGACAAACAACTTTACGATTTGCCCCAACAAATAGCCAAATTGAATGAATATTTGGATGAAATGGATAGTCTTACTGAAAAAATAATTCAAAGAGAAATTAATCAGAAAAATCAACAATTAGAAGAAGAACAAAGACAGTTTATAAAACTTTTTGGTGATTTTTTTAGCCTTAAACGTGACCCGCCTTTTTGTTCACGCGAAACAACTCAGAAGAGATTGAACTACTTTTACAAAGAGCTTATTATCTGTATGAAAATTTTCGCCTTTGTCTAGATCTAGATTCTGATCAATCAAAGGGGAAGAAATGGAAAAAGTTTTTTCCTTGGAAATGGGGACAATAATTAAGAAAATGGAAACAATAAATTTATTTTGATTATTGTTTTATGAGAAATACGTTTACATATTTGCTTTTTTCATTAATTATCTTTAATAAATTATTCAACAATGAGTGCAAAATCTATTTAAGGATTAGACATCTTATAAGATTTGAGGGATTTATCTGTTAATTTTCGAAAACGCAAACAATCAGATTTAACGTCAAGATCGCTTGGACTGAGGAAATTTTGCGTCAATGAAGGGATTAGGGGGATAATTAGAGGATAACAATAAGAAAATAATAGGATAATTTTTTCTAAATAGATTAGGGGGCTCCACATCCAGTTGCTAAATTTAAAAAAGAAACATTTTAGTCTCGTATTGTGTAAATCTCATTGTGAGATCCGAACGCTCAAAACATTAAGTTCCCAAAATTGAAAAAAAATACTTAATTTTAATATATCGACTAATGCTTTCTCTTCTTCCTTTTTAGATCGTCTAACCCCCGCCTAAGCGTCTAAATGCTGCTAGGTGAATCATCCTTCCAATATTTATTGTTTTAATTTATTAGTCTACTTATTCGATACAAACATTCCTTTTAATGTGTTTATTTTTTGTTAAAAGCATTTTATTTTTGAACAAATATCTTTAAGGCTCTAAAAAAATAAAAAATTAATTTGTCTTTTTTATTAATTAAAAATGGTTAAGTTGCTTAAATGGGTAAGAACCTCAGTGAGGCTCAAGGTTGGAATTCTGGTACTTTATTAATATCCCGTCCCCCCCCCCCCCCCCCCCCCCCCCCACACCTATCTGAGTCTCAGATTATTTTTCCATTTTTGCTGTCAATCATTTATTCCTCTCCTTTTTTAATGCCAATCATTTTCTTCCTCGAATATTATAAGTAAAAGGCAAGTTAAAAACTTAAGCCATTTGAGGTGTACAGCCCAAAAGGGCGCGCAGCCATAACGGCGCAAAGCCATAACTTTTTGTAATATTTTTGTCCATTGTTATTTTTGTTTTTATATTTGTTTTTATATATTTTTGCCTTATTTTTAAATATTTTTGAGCAAAATGATCAAATTTCTAATTCTAATGTGTTTAATAATCAAATCAAATTCGTGGACTTGGGATGATTATCCATCCCCTAGAGGACCAGATTATCGAAAATGTGGTGTTACAAAACCAGCCTATGTTTGTGATCCTGATGGGTTGTTAACTGATCAACAGAGAGAGGAAATTGTAGAATTGGTTGAGGATTTTAAGGAAAAAACTAAAAGGGTAAACTTTACACCGTCCGGTCGAAACAGCGTCCACACACATTCATTTCACAAAAAGAAAAAAAGGGTAAAAAGAGCATTCGCTGTCCATTAGTCCGCAAAAGGCATTCCGCAAAAAATTTCGTTTTCTGTTTGGGATTTAAATAGATCGACAAAAAGTTTTCTAATATTCGCTAAAACCTCCGTAGTCCCTCCTTTTCTTTATCGTTGATTAAGGAGAGGAGGGAATATGGATGATATCAACGATTGAGGGAGATGAAGAGGATATGGAGATAACGTTCATTACGTCCACTTTTCTGTATTCATACCGTTAATTTCTCTTATTTTCTGTAAAATGCAGAAAAATGTCTTTAGCTTAATCCCTTTTGGGGAACATATGTGCAGCGAGCTGGACTTACCATCTATGGCTATTAGAGCCTAGCTACTATCTATAAAGCCTTTCCTAAAAATTTTATTTCAAATTTTATTACTTTTTGTGAAATGAATGTGTGTGGACGCTGTTTCGACCGGACGGTGTTTTGCCCCGCATCTTAATTTTATAGCCAAATTCAACAGTTCGTTGTATGGATGAAGGCCTTCGACTCATTATAGCCTTAGCAAAAGACAAAATTGGTCCAAATCGTGGATATACAGTATGTTTTTAATGAATGGGGGAGATCAATGTTTTAACTTCGGGCAGTGATGCGGGGGTTCCGGTTCCGGCCGGTGCGGTTCCAGTTCCGGTATTGTAATTTGAACCGTGGAACCGATAGTTGCCTGGGACCGGCTTGGAACCGGTTTGGTGGAACCGAAACAATATTTTGGAATTTTCGCATCACTGACTGCGGATTACGTAAATAGTAGTTTTTGCATTGAAATTTCGGTTGAAGTTTTTTAAGATAAGACAATGGGCTTAATAAAAGAGGGGAGGGTATCTTTTTTTGATTACGAACTAAAAGCAGTTTTAGTATTTTAATTTCAGAATTAAATTGATAAGCGATTAATTTTATTATGTAGAATTTGTGCATTTATCAAAGTTGGACGTCAACTGATCCAACAAACTGCAAATCAAATGTGCATGGAATTGAAGTCAATTTAGATAGTTACAGTCATTGCCATTGGCTAAGTTCGCTAATGGAACTTCATGAAGACGAATATGAAAAGTTCGCCAAAGCTGGAGTAAAAATTTAAAAAATTCGATTAAGAGATTTTGAAGTATCAAAATAAAATTAAGTTTATTTTACAATATAAATCAGAGATTCTGTCTTCCCGATTCCTAAAAATAGGAAATTTTTGCAGCAGAATCATTGATTTATGTACAGGGTGCGGCAAATTTAGCGCCTACTTTATTTTTTGAATAACTTTCTTCAAACTCGATAAAAATTGATAATTCTTTTTTTATTTGATCCCCAACACTCTAGGAAAATTTTTGGAACCGAATATTAGAAATTCGGTTTACAGATAATAAAGATATGCCCGAAATAGTCTATAAATCGCATCAAGAAATATATTTTTATGCCAAAGTTTACTTTATCATAACTTCGTTCAATGTCATCCAATCTTACTAATTTTGGTATCAATCGACTCGTTTAGACGAGGAGCATCGCAATAGTCTATAATTAGATTTTTGAAAATTTCACCTAAAAATGTCAAATTTAACATCAAGTTCCAAATTTATCATTCAAAGGCATATATCTCAGCTCAAGAACAAGATAATCGTCTAGTTCTTATGTCAATCGAATCAGACAAAAGAGCTTATTCGAATGATATAAACATACTGAATATCAGACACACGGTTTTTAAATCAGAAGACTTTTGGTTCAAAAATTTTTGCCAAAACTTTATGCAAAAATACTCAAATTAATTTATAAAATTTAGAGAATATTTTTGTATCGTAAATTTTCCTAGAGTGTTGTGAATCAAATAAAAAAAGAATTATCAATTTTCGTTGAGTTTGAAGAAAGTTATCCAAAAAATAAAGTCGGCGCTAAATTTGCCGCACCCTGTATATTTTCAATATTATAAATATCTGATTTAATAATGGCATTATTTATGTATATATTTATAGGTATATAACAAATACGCTCGTTTTTTGGTGCTAAAGGGACATATTGAAAAGTTGCGCATGCTTTACATTAATCATTTCTCAATTTTTGATAACCTTGGTGCTTCTAATGAAGACAACATTACACTATTAGAAGTGCATCAATCTTTGAAAGATGCTAAAAATTTATCAGAAATGAGACAGTTACAAGACCAAATGCTTGCTGAAAAAAATACAACAGCTCAAAAATGTTCTTCTATTAATTTGTATGTTTTATTTTTAGATATATTAAGGTTGAGAGATGTCCAAGACCGGAAAATTTCCAAGACTCAAGACAAAGACAGAATCGTAAACCAAACCTTTAGTACTGTAAGAAAGGTGGCTGTACTATAGTATAGGTCCACCGAGATCGGAACTCATAGTATATACCATTCGATTCGTCTCACCGAGCTGAGTTCAAATATGCAAGAATTTTCTGCGGGAGACGAAAACTCGCTGAGATACAGGCCCTCGAACATCGAAAAAACAAAGGGGGGACCAAGCTGATTTTTGGGGCCAAAAATTCGAATCGGCGAATTATACCTCATTCGAAAGCTGAGTCGAATGACACCTGAGTCGAATGACACCAAAATCAACGAAATCCGACTTGATTTGACAAAGTTATGACCGTTTGTTTTTACCCCTTCCACGAGGTCTACGCGGAAAAAAGTTTTTGCCGCTGCGGAGGAAGCCGGGCATGTCGAGCGGAACGACGGCCGCCGCTTCGCTACGGTCGCCGCGAGCGCAGCGAGCACTTCGAATGACGGGTCATTATCATATTCGAATTTTTTGACCCCAGAAATTTCTAAATTTCGGGGGTCTGTAATTCGGCTATATAAGGTCGGATTTCGTTGATTTTGGTGTCATTCGACTCAGTTCGACGAGCTCTTTCGAATGAGGTATAATTCGCCTATTCGAATTTTTGGCCCCAAAAATCAGCTTGGTCCCCCCTATGTTTTTTCGATTTTCGAGGGCCTGTATCTCAGCGAGTTTTCGTCTCCCGCAGAAAATTCTTGCATATTTGAACTCAGCTCGGTGAGACGAATCGAATGGTTGAAATTGTTTGAGAGAGAAACGAATGATCATGTTGAAATTGTTTGAGAGAAAGACGAATCGAATGGTATATACTATGAGTTCCGATCTCGGTGGACCTATACTATAGCGACCCCAGAAAGATTACGAATCATAAATAAAGTTAAAATCCTATGTCTCTAATAGGGTTATTTATTTTAAAAATTTTTTGGAATTCTTGAACTTCTCTCTAAACGAATGATCATGTTGAAATTGTTTGAGAGAGAATATTAAAGTAAATTTTTTTAATTTCTTTACAGATCTGACATACTATCAGCCTTATTTTTCATAATTATTTGCTTGGTGCTTTTATATTTATTTTATCGCTTCATTTAATGACACCAATACAACCTGTTGAAGCTGTTGAAAATAAGAAAAAGGAGGAAGACGAAGGAAAGACAAAAGCTTTATCAAACCTTTAAATATCTATGTAAATAAAGTCAAGTTTCACTATAAAATACAACCCTTAGTTCTGAAAAACTTTTAAGTATTTATATCTAAGGTATACTAACTGGGTGGTATCGCTAGGTTACCTCTCCCACCCTCTGGCTATTTAAATGATACACCTTTTAAATCGAGTTGTATCCAACATTTGGACGGGACACGCCCAAGTAGGCGCGCGGCCAGGTAGGCGCAAAGCCATAAGCTGCAACCTTTCTGGACCTCAACAATTTTGGTACCAATCTCTTTAGCTCGATGAGAGGAATCGTTTAATACTAAATTTAGAAAGATTCAGAAATCTTGAAGCAAGTTATGGCTTTGCGCCTACATGGTCGCGCGCCTACTTGGACTGTACCCCATTTGGACGTATCTTGGGGTGAGAATTGACTACATCTCAATCGAAAGAAAAACTTTCTTTCCTCTGGCAATTAAATTATACACCTCCTAGAGTTAAATCCAATATCTGTATGTATCTTACGGTGAGGTTTGACTGTACATCTTAATATAAAGATTAATCTATAATTACTGAGTAATCTAATAATTTTTAAAATAAATTTTATTTTGAATTTAATTTAACATATCCATGGGGCACAAAAAACGTGTTGAAAAGCGTCTTTGCTATAATAAGGTTTAAATGGCGAATGCAGGGAGGGGATATAATTTAACAAGAATGTTCCGATCACACTACCAAAGAAGCACGCTCAAAAAATGTTGCTCTCGTACTACCAACAATGTCTTGATGCATCTCATTCATTATTTCCACAGAAATTTAAAAATTTGGTTGGCCTTTAAGATACATTTCAAGATAGGATTCGTTTTTCGGCCTTGCTATAATAAGGTTTTAACTATAATACCCTCAAGGGGGTATTATAGTGAAATTTTGGCTGAAATAATATAAATTTTCGTGTTTTATTTGAAAATGTTTTTTACTTTTTTTTAAATAAATGTCTTAGTCTATAAAATTTGCAGATTTGAAATTTTTTAATTAGCAGCATTAAAATTTCTTTTATTTGTAAATATTTTAAACTTGCCAAATAAAATGTTTGTAATATATAAATGCAACTGTGTATATAAAAAAGGATTTGGAATTTTTTAATAAATAGGCAGTTGTTCAACGAGTACAGGTTCAGTTAATATTAAATTTGGAAAATTTGAGGTTGGGGGCAGGCCCGTAGCCAGAGGGAAAACCGATAAGTATCAGGTTCTGTTTTTTGGAACTAGTGGTTGTGATTAGGGTTGAGCGCATTGCGTTGCGTTAAATTTTGGCCTTTTTGCGTCTTGCGTTGTGTGAGTTTGTCTCTTGCGATCATCCGTGTTTGCGATGTTTATCCCCTAAACAAGATCTTATGGGAATAAGTTAACCTATCTCAAATAGGAGTAATTGCCGAAGCTGGTAACACATGTCATAGGATCATCCTTTCGTTTTGTTTAATAATACGGCAAATAAAGGGAATCATAGGGAGATAAAAAAATAAGAAAAAATAGGGGACACAATCTTAACTTTTACCTTTATGCACGTATGATAATGCTCAAAATGCTTAATTAAGGTTATCCTTGAAATTTCGTTTCCTCTATCGAATTCAGTCTGTTTTACAATAATTTTTCGCTTAATTTTAAACAATTCTTGGCCATATTAAAGAACAAAGATCAAAACACAAGCTGATTTTGGATTGTTTATATTCTATAGATTGATAATAAATTTTGTTTAGATGTGTCAGTCTTTTAATGTGTTTATTCTCTTTATATATTTTTTTGTTAAATGTCCAAAATATTTTCTATAAATAATCCATTTGCCCCTTCAGATTAAATTATTAAAAGCATTTTATTTTTAAATAAAAACTTAAGGCTCTAAATCAGACTTGTGCATGAATACGGATTTTGCTATCTGTGTCCGGATATATACGTGAGGTCAATATCCATATTAATTTATATCCGTCCAACTTTTTAGGCATATAAATCCGCGGGTATCCTTGGGTTTGGAGCATCACATCCGTATCCATCTGATTTTTAAAAAACACTATCCATGCCCGTCCGTATCCGGATATATCCGCGGATATCCGGATATTATCCGTATTCATGTCACATCACGTCTGCAGTAACTAAAAAAATTATTTTTCTCTTTTATTTATTAAAAATGGTTAAGTTGGTTAAATGGTTAAGAACTTCAGTTCGCAAGGTTGGAATTTTTTTGCTTTGAAGTAAAAATATTTTTGAAATAAAAAAAAGTTTTGATGTTCTTATCGTTTCAATTTAAGAAACGTTCTCGTTCACCAACGTCTGAACCTGTCAAACAACTTTACGATTTGCCCCAGCAAATAGCCAAATTGAATGAATATATGGATGAAATGGAAAGTCTTACTGAACAAATACTTCAAACGAAAGAAGAAATTGAACAGAAAAATCAACAATTAGAAAAAGATAAAGAACAATTTACAGAAATTCATTATGATTTTATTACACTTAAATATGACCCACCTTTTTATTTAATTAATACGCGCGAAAACAACTCTGACCAAATTGAACAACTTAGACAAAGAATTTATCAAACAAATAAAAATTATAACATTTGTCTAGATGAAAATTCTAGTAAATCAAATTTACAACATTTTGGAAGGAAATGGAAAAGGTTTTTTCCTTGGAAATGAGAACAATAATGAAGAAAATGAGAACAACAAATTTATTTTGATTATCGTTTCATAAGAAATATGAAACGATAATCTATTTTCTTTTTTCATTAATAATCTTTTTAAAATAAATTCCAAAGATGTGAGTCCAATAATGAGTACAGGATCTATTTAATGATTTGACATCTTATAAGACTCGGGGATTTAATCTTTTAATTTACAAAAAAGTAAACAGTCATGCTGGTCGCTACGAGGCTCACTCTCTGCAGATAAATCGTTAGCTGTAGATAAATCGGTAGCAACAATGTTAAAGAGTAAAATTTCAATTAGTTTTTTTTTAATTCAATTTTAATTCAATTAGAATTTCAAATGACAATGCTGGCTAAAATTAAAAACAATTGTTGCACTTTTATAAATCTAGTTTTTATAGTGTATTTGCATTTCTTAACACCGTAATAATTGACAAAGAAAAAATTTCTTTGACAACTATCTGACTCAAAATATTTTTTATGATTCATTTCCCCTTCAGATTAAATTGTTAAAAGCATTTTTATTTATGATAAAAGTTTTTAAGTCTCTAGATAAAAATTAATTTTTCTTTTATCAATTAAAAATGGTTAAGTTGTTTAAATGGTTAAGAATTTGGGGAATTTTGGGGAAGACCCATTAACATACCCTTCGATAATTATTTTATTTATTATTGGAATATAGCATAAATAACGTGAAATATATCAGTTTTTTATAGTAAACACAGCTAATTAAAATATCTTATGATTCATTTTTATGATCTACGCGTTAGATTAAATTGTAAAATCAATTTTCATTTGTATTTTTTAAATATGTATATTTTAAATTACTAAATAAAAATTATTTTTCGTTTTTATTAAAAATGGTTAAATTGTTTAAATGGTTAAGAACTTCAATAGGCAAGGTTGAAACTTTTTTAGTTACAAACCTAAAAATGACCTTAAAATTAAAAAAAACCTACAAATTTAATTTTAATACAACCATTTAAGTTTTGGTATTTTTTTAGTCAAAGAAACGTTCTTGTTCACCGGCTGAATCTTCGAGTTTAAATAGTGCACAACTTGAAAATGAAGAAAAACAAATTGCCAAAATGAATGAATATTTAGATGAATTAGACACTATTGCTAAACAAATGCTTCAAAAGAAACAAAAAATTGAAAGGAAAAAACAGCAATTAAATGAAGATAAAGAGCAGCTCGACAAACTTGTTCGTCAATTTTTCAAGTGTTTAGAGGAAATGCCAGAAAAAGTTGATTTAAATGTTGTTCAAAAAAACAAAGACCAACATGAACAAAATAAAGAGAGATTTGATCAAATATTTGAAAGTTTTCTCTCTTGTCTAGATGGAAATTCTGCTCAATCAAATTTAAAACTTTTGGGAAGACAATGGAAAAGATTTTTTTAGGGAAATGAGCAGAGTTGCGTCGTAATTGAAAATTTTTTTTCGTAATCGTAATTCGTAATTTTTCAAAAATATTTAAATTAATTTTAAAAATCAAATATCTATTAATAATTGCTGCTTCTCCCATTAATCTCTCCAAGTCCTCTTATTTCTCTGATATTATTCAAATCCCAATTAATTCCCTGATATCCCTCTTAATCCTAATAATCCTCCGATATCTCTTTAATCAATCATGAGGAATTATCGTCCCAGATTAACTAAATTAAAAATTTTAAAGTTTTTTTTTTCAATTTTAAGATATTAAAAATGTAATTTACAAACCTAAAATCAAAATCAAAGCTTAAAAACGTTTATTTTTGAAAAAATGAATTGTCTAAATATTATTTCCTACACATGGATTCGAACCAAACTTCACAAAATATCAAATAAGTGAAGCTTGACTTTTAACCCACTCAACCACCGATAAACAAAAGTAACTGTGAGAGAAAATATAAATATTTCAAATATTTCTTCCCCTTTTAATTCTAAAATTTAATGGCAAAATTATTTTCGTAATTCGTAATTTTTCCCTATATTTTCGTAATCGTAATTCGTAATTTAAAAATTTTTTTCGTAATCGTAATTCGTAACTGAAAAAACGCCGTAATTCGTAATTACGACGCAACTCTGGAAATGAGGACAATTATAAATGAAAAAAATTAGAACAATATACCGTATTTTCTCTAATTAGAATGCCATGGCATTTTATTTTTCATTGACATTCCATGACGGCATTCTACATATTAGAGACTGGCATTCAACTGGATAATGGCATTCTAATAGAGAAAATACGTACACATATTTATATTTTGAATATGGTTTTATAAAAAGATATTTTAATACTTGTGCTCTTATAAATTCTGATAATAAATTTCAAAAAAAGGGAAGTACAGATAATATTTAAGGATGAGACTGGGCTCGGATTTATTCTTAAAACGTTAATTTAGACCGATTTTGATAACTCGTTTCAATTTCAATTTTCATCAAATTAAATTTAATTTTAATCAAACAATCTATCTGGCCATATTTAGAAAACAAGGAAATAAATTTATTAAAGATAAATTAACACACTATTTTTACACTATTTTTACTAGAGATCGGAATTTTGAAAAAACTGGGTCCGGGTTCCGGGAAACGGGTTCTGGGCCCGTAGAATAAATTCGGGGTAAAGGGCATTTAACCCCTACCTTGGGGTTAAATAACCCGTAACCCGCAGAATAAATTCAAACCCCTAGCTTCGGGTTAAATGACCGGGTCATATAACCCGGTTATCTGACCCGCGTAACATTACCGGTAGAATAAATTAATTACCCGGGTTGAATAACCCGCAGGTAAGGGGCAAATTGCAACCCTACTAGGGGGCAGGGTAGCATGCGCATTATGCATAATTTCTAAAAAATTAAAATATTTATTAAATTGAAAAATTTTAAAAAAATTTTAAATTTCTATTCCAATTTTTTAATTTCTATTTTTTTAATTATCTGATTTTTTAATTTTGTTTTAAAAATAATTTTTTTTAAAATACTCCCAAAGAGGGGACTGTCTAAAATATTCTATAATACTAGGTTTAAAGATCCAATAGAATATTTACCTAAGCACGTGAGAATCCTGGCAGGAAGGGTCAATCTCTTTTTAAACAATTAATGCGAAATGGGTTTGGCAATAAAATATAAAGTGTTAAATAACCCAGTAACTCAACTAGTTAAATAACCCTTAGTTAGGTGTTAAATAACCCTTAACTCGGGGTTGAATTTATTCTACCGATTTTAACCCGTAGCTAAGGGTTATTTGCCCCTGGGTTGTTTAACCGGGTTATTTAACCGGGTTATCCAACCCCGAATTTATTCTACGGGCCCTGAAGGTTGACCACGAGGTTTCAACCCGGTCAAAAATGACCGGGTCCCGGCCGGGAAACCGGGAAATTCTTAATTTGTTGAAATTGAGCTGTATTTTTTGGGCTGTATTTTTCGGTTGGGTACCTTGACCAGATTCTTGGCTTGAGTCAAGGAAAAATCAAGAATTATTTTGGCTCTATTACACAATATACGTCCAATCAACTATTATGCGTCCAATCAACTTTTATACGTCCAATCAGGGTTGCCGCGGGTACAAAAAATCTTCGGGTACGGGTTTCGGGTATCGGGTTGGAGCGTTTTCATTTCGGGTCACGGGTTTCGGGTTGGCAAAAATATCGGGTACGGGTTTCGGGTTTCGGGTTATAAAATTTTCATTTCGGGTATCGGGTTTCGGGTTGGCAAAAATTTCGGGTACGGGTTTCGGGTTTGGCGAAAAATCCGGGTTATTTTCGGGTGTTCGGGTATTGGTGAACTAAATTGTATGAAGACAAGCTATGTTGCTTAATAGGATTTTGGGTAATATAGAGAGGCAAATTTGAAGAGATTAAAGAGACATGTGGGATTTGGGGATTAAGAGGGATATCTTGGTAAAATCCCACCTTGATAAAATCCCACTATATACTAATATCCCTCCGCTTTATCTCCATTAAAGCCTCCTATTTTCTCCTGTTTTCAGCGCCGCAGGCGAAAATTTTGAGACTTTTAATGATCCTTAAGCCAGATTTCTAGCTTTTTCACCGCCGGAGGCGAAAATTTTGAGAATTTTGGAAGACCAAGAAGCCAAATTTCTTCCATTTTTTGCGCCGCAGGCGAAAATTTTGAGAATTTTGATTATGCTTAAGCCAGATTTCTAGCTTTTTCACCGCCGGAGGCGAAAATTTTGAGAATTTTGTAAAGTCTTGGGCAGGGTGACCATTTTACCCTATTTATAGGGCATTTGCCCTATTTTTGAACTTTTCGCCCTATTTTTTCCCTATTTTTTCATTTGCCATATTTTTGCCCTATTTTTACTATTTCGTAATATTACTAAAGTTTTCTGGGATTTTGTAAAAAAATGGTAAAAATGAAGGATTTCTGACTTCCTGGCCTCCAAAATTCTCAAAATTTTTGCCTGCGGCGCTAAAAAATAAGAAATCTGGCTTCTTGACCTTACAAAATTAAAAAAAAATTTGCCTGCGGCGCTGAAAGGGAGGACGTTACTAGCTTATTATTATAGATTGGCACGAACAGGCTGAAGTACGGGATTTTATTCAGTAATTTGGACGTTTGTGAATGAAATAGTTCGAAGTTTGTCAACATTGGAGGCTTATTTTCGACCTGAAAACCCCTGTTCCCCTGTAACCATTAAACTTAATTCTGATTTTAATTTTACTCTGGCATATGATCTCTTTATTTCTGATCCCGATTTGCTCAATTTAGTTAAAACTACTGAAAAAATGTTAAAAATAAAGCTTTTTGTTTGAAATTTTAATTAATTTTAAGCTTTTAAAATATTGCCATATTTTTTGCCCTATTTTTGACCAATTTTGCCCTATTTTTTGCCACATTTTTGAGTGGCTGCGCCCTATTTTGGTGGTTTGGAGATGGTCACCCTGGTCTTGGGAGAAAAAATTTAATTGGCAAAACCGCAGGCAAAAAATTTTTATTAAAGTTTAATTGGTCATGAAGCCAAAACTCTTCATTTTATGCGCCGCAGGCGAAAATTTTGCAAAATTCATGACTTAATTAAAATTTTTAATACTTTTTTAAGCTTAAAATATTAAAAAAATAAATTTAAAGTTCTAAATGAAAATCAAAGGTTAAAAACATTTATTTTTAAAAAGAGAAAAATTTTTAAGCCACATTTCCAGCCCTGGACTCGAACCCACACCCATGAAAATATCAAGACAGTCGCTTTACCCATTCAGCCACCGATCCACATAATGAGAATATGAAAGAAATTATGAATATATCTTTCCCTTTTCCTTTCTATAATTATTTAAATTTATTTTAAAAAATCGGGTAAGGTTAAATTTTCGGGTAGAAATTTCGGGTTTTAACCAATTTCGGGTCACGGGTTTCGGGTTGGAAAAAAAATCGGGTACGGGTTTCGGGTTTCGGGTTGGAAAATTTTCAATTCGGGTATCGGGTTTCGGGTACAAAAAAAGGCCGGGTTTCGGGCGGCAACCCTGCGTCCAATCAAATCATATACGTCCAATCAATTTATACGTCCAATCAATTCATAAATTTCGAAAATTCGACGTAACGTAACGTATCGTAATTTTAGCGTTTATAAATAGAAGGTATATTATATTAGTGGGTTGAAAAATCTGTTAATTAATAGACTAGAAAATTCCCAAAAAATGTTTTATCACGCCCTTAATTTTTTACTCCACCCTTATTGCATAATACATTTAATTCTAATATTAATGCACTATTAAATATAAAATGTAATACATAATATATTTTAAGTTTATTTATATGAATAATCATTCATTTAAGAAATTTTTATTTCTAATAATAATTCTATTTAATAACAAAGATTTTCATAATTACATATATCTATTATATAAAAATATAATATTCAATATTTTTCAATTAATAAATTAGACATTTACAATTTAATATTTTTAAACTAAAACATTTTTAATTAGGATTTAATTCGAGAAAATCATTAATTAATTTGTCAGTCTCGTCTACTAAAGGTTTTTAATTTTCTGTGAAGATTTGCATTCAATCCATAAATTTCGAAAATTCGACGGAACGTAACGTATCGTAATTTTAGCGTTAATAAATTAAAAAATAGAAGGCATGTTTTATTAGTGGGTTTATTATATGCATTAGCATGTTTTATTAAACGCAAATTTTCATTGGACGCATAAACTTTTTATTGGACGCACAAACTTTCATTGGACGTATAAAATTTGATTGGACGTATAAAAGTTGATTGGACGCATAATAGTTAATTGGACGTATATTGTGTAATAGAGTCATTATTTTTGCCTGGATCCAGGCTTTGATTCTTGATTAAGTGGGATTAAGTAGGATATGCTGGTATTTAAAGGGATATTATAGGATTTGAAGGGATATTACGGGATTAAGTGAATATGGAAGAGTTTGACAGGATATCGTGGAATATAAGAGGATTTTAGACGATTAAAAGATATAGGTGTAGAGGGAGTACGAGTGATATTGTGTATTTGGGGATTGGAGTGATGCCAGGGGATATCTGGGGATTATGAGGGAGAGGGTGGCCGAGTGGTTATGTGTGAAATTCTTAAAAATTTTCCTTTAATTGCTAAGAAGTGAATTTTTTTGCTTACGGCCTTGAAATTTTCAAAATTTTCGCTTGCAGCGCTGAAAAAGTAAGAAATTTCGCTATTCTTTTAGATTCCTTGAAATATCCGGATATCATTAAAATCCACCTAACTTGATTCAATCCTCCGATATACACAAATCTCGCTTTTCCAGCGCCGCAGGCGAAAATTTTGCGAATTTTGAAGGTTAAGAGGCCAGATTTATACCTTTTCCAGCGCCTCAGACGAAAATTTTGAGAATTTTTCGGATTTAATAACTGAATGTTTTTCCCGGTTTCCCGGTATAAAAATGGTCCGGGAACCGGGTTCGGAAATTTGACCGGGAGGGACTCGGAATTCCCGTTCCCGGTTTCATCCCGGTTGCTTTAGAAAAACGGGAAAAGGGACCCGAAAAGCGGGTCCCGGACCCGTTCCGATCTCTAATTTTTACATTATAAAATAAATATTTATGGATTATACCAGTCAAGAAAGAGTAAAGTAAACGTCAAAACTAACAAACAAAATATCGTTATAACTCTCCGATTAGCTTGATTTTTAATAGCTTCTCGAATATAATCATTTGCCTGTTGTAAATTATCCAAAGTGTAAATAGTCCTTGAATGGATTAAATCAATATTTTGCTCTTGTTCACAAATCTATTTAAAAAAAATAAAAAAATAATTTTTTGGTGGAAAAACCTTTTCTGAAAACACATTTTGAAGTCGTTGAATTTCGGCTACTTTAGACTCAATTAAATGCAATTCTGAATCAGTTGCTGTAAATCGCTCAAGCATTTTTTTATTTTCATCAAATAATTGCACTTGTTCATCTAAAAAAGAATCTTTTTGAATTATTCAAAATGTCAAAGACTTAAATGTAAAAGGGAAAGGGAGAAATAAAAATTGACAATTATAAATAGAGCCCGGAATTTCGTTCCGTACTAATACCGATATCGAAAAATACCGATAAAATTCAAAATTTTGCCGTTCCGTATTCCGTACCGTATTACCGATACGGAATACCGATAAATACCGAAAAATACGGCCGTAGTAAGTCGGCCCCATGAAATCAGATAAAGTCGGGCCCAAATGAAATCAGAACTCGAGACCGGCAAAATCGCACTTCCGGGATCCCGAGTCGGGATTTTTTCTTAACCGATGTCGGGACTGAATCCTGAGGGATAAATCCCGAAAAATCAAAAGAAAATCCGGGATTTCGAGATCCCAGAAAATCCCGGATCCCGTTCCGCGCCGGTCTCTAATCAGATCCTGTTAGCAAAATATTTGACAAAGTATAAAAGTTGTGGGAAAAGGAATTCAAACTTAAAGGTAATATTCACAAATAGAAAAGTCTGTTCAGAACCGAACTGAGGAGTTTTCGATTTGGTTCAGGATATCCGAAAATTTCACAAGAACCGACAACCATACTCACAAGTGGATCAATTCAAGACCTATCAAATTAAAAAAAAACCTTTATTTGTTGGTTCATATGGTGCTGTTTGTTCTTCTTCATTTTTATATTCAACTATATTTACAGAAGCCTTTTCATGACTAGGGCTTTTATGTACTACTAATTTTCGTTCAGGAATATCATCCATATCCAAATCAGCATCAGACCAACCATCAATTCTTTCAATTTTAGGCTTAAATAATTTGCTTATTATTTTTTATCTGAATTTAGAATCCCTAATAGAATTTTAATTTCATTTTTATATCATGCCTTGCTTAAAAACTCTTTATCTTATATATTAAGGCCTGACTTAAGTAGAGGTTATCTAACCAATCTCCCGAACAAATGGCCAACCAAACATTAAATAAACGGATATCTTAAATAAAGGTATCTAAAATTGAGTGTAGGCAAGTAGCCAGAGGAAGTGGGTTTATCGCCTTCAAGTTCAAAAATATAAAGCCCAATATTTTCACAAGCTTCCCTTCCCTCGAAAAATTTTCTGGGCAAGTGCTTGTGAGTGAGATGTTTATCTTAAAAGTAAGCCCAATTTATAAAATTTTTCATTTCTTCCAAACAGTATGTCAAAAACTAACTTCACTGTCTAATTCCAATTCCACATCCTCCCAACCATCTTTTGATGAAGATTTTTCAATTTTTGTTGAAATATTTTTTGTCAAATTTTCTTTATTTTCGATATGTTGTTGTTCTCTTCTTTTTTTGTTTTTATAAAATTTTTCGTTTTTCTCCAACTCTAAACGCATTTTTGCAAGATTGGCATCCTTCTCTTCTTCCTCTTTTTGTGCATCTTCTATTTTAGGCCCATACATTTCTACCAAATTTGCAAGTCGACATATTTTTCTAATTTGTCTGGCTTTTCGAAGGTAAATTTCTCTAAAAAATATTTTGTTTAAACACAAATTTGTTTTTAAAATTTAACTCATAAGAAGCTCAACACGCCCTAATGTAGGAAATTTATTACCTTACAGTTTCTGGAAATCCTAGATTTACTTTATAATTAATTCAACGTTCAATAATTTATTTCGTAATATTAAATAAAATTAATCTGAGAGAGGAAGAATATATAAATTTTATAATAAAAATGGAGGATTGATCAAAAAAAGATAGAAAAACGGGAAAGGGCCAGCCAGCTATTTTTATAACGGTTGATTTATAGAAAGGTACAGTGGGGTGCAAAAGTAATGAATCATAGCTAACGCAAAGGAATTTAGTACTATAACTTTTCAGAAAATGGTCCAAATGAAACTAAAAATGGATGAAAATATTGAAATGGATGAAAATATTCCCCAAAGTGTCAGCTTCAAAAGTGTCAGCTTCAAAAAAAATTTTTAAATAAGTCCACCTCAATTTTAACTGGTGCAAAATTAATGACTCAAAATTTTATCGAATCATATCTCTTAGTTGTAAAAAAAATTTTTTCACAAAAAATTCCATCAAACATATGCCTTTGCGCTAGCTATGAGTCATTAATTTTGCACCCCCACTGTATTTCAAAATATGTTTATGGGAAAGAGAATAAAGAATTCTAGTTATTAATAAATTTCGTAATAATTTATTCAATTTAATTAAATGAGTAATTCGCAGGATGCGACACTAATAAGGTTAAGTTCCCACATGCATTGAACCAGGTGTGGATTCAAGAGAGGCTAGAGATAAAAGAAGGAAAAGCTAGAGACCTATCAGAAATAGCAAAAAATCTTATTGACCAAAAAAAATTTCCGATTGAGAAAATATATTTTAGTTCAACATACATGCGACAAAAAGACAAAAGCTACAACTGATAAAAGTCAAAATAAAATAGAACCATTAATGGATTCAAACAAAATTTATAAATTTTCCATGACCCCCTTAAAAATCCTACCCTTGGTTGCGCCATCCTATTAAACCATCCATTTTTGCCTCTAAAAATTAGAAAAAACCTTAATTGTGCAACAATCGCCAAAACTTCTTTCAAATAAACATTTAATAAATTAATAACGGCTGTCAAGTGTTTACATTCATCTCCAGCACGTAAAGATTTGTCGGAATTTATTCGAATATTTAAATCTTTAATTAATTTGGTGCAATTTTTGATAGCAATATCTGAAATAAAGGAATTGAACGCTTTTGTTCAGATTACGCGTCCAATCAACCTTTGCGTGTCCAATAGAATTTTATGCGCCCAATAACATTTTTAAGTACCCGGTTCTTCATTTTAGATCAATGGTCCGGTATCGTGCTGTTGTAGCATAACTCAGTGAGAAGATTTCTCTATTCCCTTAGATTTTATGGTACTGAAATAAAGAACTGTGTACTTAACCCCCCCCCTTCCCTTTTTTTCATTGGGCGCGTAAAGGTTGATTTGACGCGTAATCTGTACAAGAGCCTAATAAAGTATTTTGTTCAAAAAAAAATTCAAGTTTAAAAGAAAAGCTAGGCGCCGAACAGGCATCGATCCTGCAACCTCCTGGCGTAAATAATAGATAATGCCTAGATAAACCAGATAATGTCCAGAGATCTAAACCCGTACATAAATAAATATAAAGAAACCTGTCTCTCTATCAAATTTTTTCCTGTCAGCATCAGACATAAACCTTTGAGTTCCATAAATTGAAAAAGCATTACTGCAAAGAATATATTCCTTTCTTTTGTCCAAAATCAAATCTCGTAATTGTGTAATATCTGCCAAAATTTGATTTGCATGCCAACTATAGAGATGAAAATTGGGAGACGGGGAAGACTTTTTTGAATTTTTTGGTTGATCGTCTAAAAAATAAAATTATTTTTGTCACTAATTTAGCTAATTTTTGCCGGAAAGAATTTAATTTTATAAATAATTTTCGGTAGATCCAAGACAATAAACTGGGGGAGCAGGCCAACGTACCGCAGAGATATAACTTCGTTCCAAATAGTCGAATCCAGGACGCCTTGGTATGGTTCGATACATCTGGACGAGCAGAATCGAACCAAATCAAGGCGTCCTGGATTCGACCATTTTGAACGAAGTTATAGCTCTGCGGTATGTTGGCTTCGCGGTTCGTTGGAGTGTACCTATAAACTAGACCCCCATTAAATTTGCTAGATCCATCATTCAAGAGTGAATTTAACTAAAACAATGCAAATAGCTCAACTAATCCCACAAGCTCTTAACTCGCTTTTGGAAATAAAATTCTTAATTTAACCTTTTAAAGTCGTCGAAGCCCCAGTAACATTACTACCAGAAAATTTCGCCAATGCGCGAAAGCTTGTTGTATGATCAATCATATAGTTAAAAGAACAAAATTCCAATGAAATTTACAAAAGAAACTAAAAAAGCAACAACTAGAGAAGGCAACAAGTAAAGGCAAAACTCTTAACAGAAATTTTAAAAAAAATACCGATCCAAACTAGAGATCGGTCTGGAATTTTCCTGGATCCAGAGTTCAGATCCAAACATTTTTTGATCGCCCTGGATCCAGATCAAGAATTCTGTCCAGGTTACTAACCTAAATTCAAATCCAGGATTTTTGAGAATACCGATCTCTAATCCAAATAAAAATTATTTCTATAATGTCTTTAACGTAAAATAAACGTTTCTTACAAAAAAATCAAAAAATACCAATATCAAAGTATTTATCGAAATACACACAAAAAATAATATCTTTCTCAATTTATATATTTTTTAGCGTTAAGGGAGTGGAATTTGTGTATTTTTATTTTTTAAAAAATTAGAAAATATAGAATATGTCATTTAAGTCTTTTTGCTCTTTTTTTTGTCAAAATGGGAATTTTTTAAAAGAAAATATTTAAAAGAACCCCTCTATAAGAAAATAAAAAAATACAAAATCTAACCTTTTTTAACGTTAAAAATACTTGGAACAATTTTTAGAAAAGAAAAATTTTCGTATAGAGGGGCTACTTGTAAATAAAAAGTGTCAGAACATCTTTGGGGGATTACTCCTTCACAGAAACCGTTTTAAGCATCATTTCATCTTGAAAAGCTTATTTAGCCCAAATGACGATAATGATGATAAGAAGGCTTAAAAATGTGAAATATTATTGAAAGAAATCTGAAATAACTTACATCACAATGGCACACATGATTGCGATCATCTAAAAGTTTGGTAGGGAAATTATAAAGAAGAGTTAAAATTAATTGTAGTTAAAACGGAAAGTCATGGTCCTTGTAAAAGGGAAAAAATTGACGCTAACGTGGATTGAGTCCTTTCTTGTTCCCAGTTCCCTTCTTTTACTCAACACTCAATAGCAGTTATCTGCCCAAATCAACAAGCAAAAATTTTTGTTTTCCCCCCTAATTAGCTATCGAATAACGTCAATTTTTCTTTTCCTAACTTTTCATTTTTTATCATTCCCTTGGGTAAAATACCGGAAATAGAGAGGAAAAAAACAAAAGGGAACAAACAACACCTCAAGTCTTCAAATCAAATCAAAGTACCTTAATGTTCTTCCACCAATACTTGCGCTTCAAAGTTGCGGCAGACTTCTCGAATTGCGAAGCACCTTCCTAAAAAACATTTACAAATAAAGAAAATGAATAAAAACCTGAAGAGCATCAGCTCTATCATCCAGCTGCGAAAGTTTTTGGTCACGTTCAAGAACCTTCTCAACATTAACCTACAAAATAAGTTAAATCCAACCAAAAACTTTCCAAAAAAAACCTTCATAATACCAACAACTTCGTCAACTTGCGCTTGAGTCTGTTGTAAACGCTTATTGGTAGGTCGACCCCCAGCTTGTTGAGCTCCATTAGTAGGCGTTGGTTGAGTTCCAGGAGGATCCATTTTTGAAAGTCAAAGTTAAATAAAAGTAGAAAATTTAATGAGAAGCCAAAAACACTAAAATTAATCATTTTATAGAGATGAAAAATTAATGAAATTGGAATACACAAAAAGGACTGTTCCGAATAAGGTAAATTGTATGGTCAGTAGTGTTTCGCCGGAAGTTCCGGTTCCGGCCCGGAATCAAAAAATTAAATGCGGTTCCGGTCAAAATTTGCGGTTCCGGCGAAACATTACTGGACTGTTATAGGATAGACCCGAAATTCCTCTTGTTTCGTATCGAAAAAAAACATTGAGGGTGTATCCTAGTCTAGCGTAACAGGTTAATTTAGTTCAATAAAGTTAGGTAAATTGTGTTGATTTTAGTGATGACTAACAATGTCAGAATAAAAAGGAATTTTCAACTAGACAGATAAAATTCAAATAAAAAGAAGGACACGATTCTCGTCTTTCAAAATCTTAGAAAAATACTTCTGAAAAAGGGAAAGCGCAGAATTGACCAAATATATTTTATCCACGCTTTTACCAGCTGGCAGCAGTATTTGGCGAAAGACGAGGATGACGCGGTATTGGAAATTGAAAAATGTTAAAGGAAAATCGATGGATTGGGAGAGACGTAAATGTTAGACAGCAATGAGTCTTTTAGAGAGTATTAAACTTTTTGTCAGAGAAATAAAGTTTAAATTAGCTACAATACAAAAGACCAAATTTAGCAAGGTTTCAAAAGGGTAAAAAATACAAAAGGCCAAAAACACAGAAAAGTAACAACAAAAATACCAAATCAGCAAAAAAAGTTTAAAAGAGCACATGTACAAAATGGGAAAGATACAAGAGGGCAAACCAACGTTTCAGTGAACGCGTTTTTTCTGGGTAGAGAATAGGCAGAATCACATTTCTAGGATTCGTAACGGGATTGAGTTTCAAATGATCGAACGGGAGGAATCTCGCAGGATTAATCCCGTCAATCCCGGGGTCACGGTAATCCCGTTCGTTGCCAAAAAATCTGGGATTCCGGGGCGGGATCCCATAAAATACCGCCGGGATCCCTACCGCGCCGATCTCTATTTTCGATTTTCAGTGTCCAAACTTTCCATATTTTTGCTTGATTTTTTGCTAATTATTTAACTTTTAAATTTAAAGATTTTTGTCGAGTAATTGTAGAAAAATGCCAGCAATAAGAAAAAGTAAGAAAGTAAAGGCAACTAGCAAGCAATATGAAACTCGATCGGTTAGCAAGAAGCGTTCAAAAACAATTGAAATAATTGAAGAGGATGTTGATACAAAAAAGATTGAGGATCTAAAGCTTGTTGCCAGTTTCATCAATTGGTCGAATTATGAAAAAATGTTGGGAAGGATTTTTTATGATAAAGTTGGGAAGATTCTGGAGCAAAAAGTGGATGAATTTCAAAAGATTAAAACTGAGCTGAAGACTTTTATACGCGAAAATTATGCTAATCAGAAGGTTTTTTTTCTTTATAGTTTTTAAATTTTATTTGGTAAACTTGATATTCGTGCCCTCACTTCTCGAAGTACTAATAATGGTCTGAATCAAAATGTTTTCAAATCTTGCTCTATGTATAGTAGATAAATACCCAGCTCCGCTTTTTAGAACCAATGGTCCGGTGCTGTAAGTGTATGGATGAGCATACCAAATTTTTAGGGGAGTATAGTGTATTATTTAAAATATTAATGGTACACGCACCCATTTTTGGTATTGGTTGTAAAAAACAGAGCTGGTTACCTATCGCTGGTTACCTAGCCTTTGTCGCCAAAAATGATCCTCTGAAAATTTTTCCTTGCTACAGCCTGCCTATCACCATAATATAAGGTTTGTAACATGTAACACATTTTACCTCAGACCATTTTTGTACTTTGAGAGAGAGGAGTACGAAATTCAATTGACTACTTATTTTTAAGGCTTTGCAAACGCCAAAAAGGGCCAAGCCAGCCACTGCTTTACTTGAACAAATTAGCAAATTCAAACAACTGAATTTTGATTCGGATGATGAATATTTGGAGGATACAACACTTTTGGATCAGCCTGAGCAGTTAAAAGAAAATGAAGAAGAACAGAAGGAGAAAGAACCTCCAACTGATCCGACTGTCGAAGGACACATTTTTGATGAAGAATTTTCTGTTAATCAAGAAGAAATCGAAGAAGAGCCTTCACAGGAGCAGATCGAGCAAGAGCCTCCTAATGAGCCGGAGCCTTCTGTTGAGCAAGAAAAAGAAGTTTTAGAAGAAGAAATGGAGGAAGAGCCTCCACAGGCACTGATGGAAGAAGCGCCTCCTAATGAGCCTGAACCTTCTTTTGAGCAAGAAGATAGAAGCATTTTATTTGTGCCAGAGACTCCTTTTGCGTCTCGCGCACCTATCAATGCTTCATCAGGCGGGGTTTCTTCAACTCCAGCTACTCCATGCAGTCCAAAAGTGAGAAACGTTTAATTGAAATTTTTATAAATTTATAGCCAAAAAAGTTGAAGATGCTGGGAACTCCAAAAGAAATTGTTGGCTCAATGAGGAAGTTGGCAATTACAAATGAACTTGTGAAAAGTGCCCAACAAGCAATTCAAATGCCTCCTATTCTTCGTCTTACTCCAGTAAAGAATTTTTTTTTAATTTTATTTTAAATTGTTAAAAATTTCAGAATGTTGTTGCTACACCAAAAAAGATCCAATCCAAGTTTCCAACAAAGATTCCAGTTAAAACGCCTGTGGCTCTCAATAAGACGTTGCAGAAGGTACACAAATTGAAACAAATAGACGAAAAAGCAGATCAGGCGAAGAGAGCTCGTGAAGATTTGTTAAAAGAGAAGGCGGATCGGGCAAAGAGGTTTTTTTCTATTTTATTTATTTTTAAGACTTATTTTGAGAAAGTTTTTGTGTTTATAAGCTTTTCCTTTTTTCTTTGTGTGTTAAACAATGAAGGATGAATTTGCTGTTAAGTTCCATAAGAACTTAACATCCTATGGAAAACTAACGGAAATTCGGATATTTACTTTTAGAATTAAGCTTTTGGAGTATCCTGACGCGATTTAAAGACCTGGGCTCTAAACTCAATTAAATTTAATTTTTTGACCAAAAATAAGCTTTTGCATGCCGTAGCTGAAAATTTCTAGATAATTTTAAGAAAAAGTTCTTTCCTTAATTATTTGATGAGAAAGAAAACGAAAAATAAAAATGTCAAGTTTAAATTTTCCATTTTAAAATTTTTTATAGAGAACGAGAAGAGCGTGCTAGACGAGTTGAACAAAATAATAAAAAGAAGGAAGAGGCAAGACTTGAACGTGAAAACAATGTTCGGAAACATTTGGAGGCTGTCAAGGAATTTCAAAATAGAGAATTACAAAACAATTTTGCCAGTCCGAACATGCCAGTTCGAGTCCTTCAACCTTTGAGTGTTCAGAGTAAAACAACAAAAACACCAATTATGAAGGATATTCCTGCAAGTAAGGTTAAATCGAAAGAAGCTCATCAAGAACAAAATTGTGTGGATAAGTGAGTTTTTAATTTATTGAAACTCGTCTAATAGGAAGTTTAGAAGGGTATTTGTGTTATGGAAGGGATGTGAGGAAATAAGGCTTCAACATGGATTGAGCTCAGGTTTCTAGTAGTTACTAGACAGGGTTTTACTTTCAAGTGGCATGACTTTAGGTGATCAATTCTTTGACTTTCTTCCGACGTTTGGCTTCCGACGTTACTGTTTTGGCGTCTCACTCATTTACAATTTTGCTTTTTAGCAAAATTATTTAATACAAAACAACAAAAATAAAAATATTTTTAGACGTAAACGTTCTAAATATTGTCTAGAATATTTATCCAAACCCCACAAATAATCCTAGTTGAAAGTCTGTAGACAGCATACTCTTTTTAAAATATTTTTTTGGGAGTTTAGAATTTTGGAGAAAAGAATTTTTTTAATCAAATAGGGTTTTCGTTTTCGGTTCGAGCGGACGTTCGGTGCATTTTTTTCGAGCTGGGTTTTTTTCGATTCGGTTTGTTTTCGAGCCTTTCGAGTTAAAAAGCCTTGGCTCGCTCGTTCTTTCGAGTTTCGGTTTGAGCGAGCTGGCAACCCTATAAACAAAATTAACAAACATTTTTTAAAATTTTCAGCAAATCCACTCAAACATCAATTCCTCGTTTAATATCGGAAGAAGAATGCCCAGTAAAAATTACAACTACCACGACATCTGTTCTTATTGTTCAGGAATCTCATTTAGAAGAGAAAGAAAATGCTAAAATTGTAGAGGATGAAAATTTGGGTTCTAATTTCCAGGAGGGATGTGTTAATGAGGAGAGTATGAATGAATTGGAGCAAATTAGGTTTAAAATAAAAAATTTTATTTTTCGATATAGCCCAAAAACAGCTTACATTTATTAACTGATTGAATGCCATAGCGAAATAATTAAATTAAGGGAGGGCGAAAGGTTGATCAGTATGTAACTTTTGAGAGGAGGAAAAATAAAGATTAGAAAACGAAATTGATATAAAATTTTATAAGGTATTTCCTTTTTTGTCGCTGCCTATTTTGTCGACTCTAAATTTCAAAATATTTCCCTAAACTTTTCGATTCGACATATATCTTTTAAATATTTTTTCTAATTTCAGTGTTTATGATATGACAAAAGAAAAGATATTTTTGCCAAGTACTGAAACTAACTATATTGTGGATGATTTGTCGTCTGGTGATGAAACTGATAATGATGAACAGCCACGAAAAATTGTTCCAAAATGGGCATTAAGTATTTTTAATGTTTTTCCCTTTAATTAAAAAAATTTTTTTAGAAGAAAATATTTTGGAAAGAACTAAAAAAATCCATCATTTAATAACTAAAGATCAAATTGAACATCATTTTGGGAAAATTTGCCAGCCTACAACGCAGGATTTGTTTGGGGGATATTGCAAAGATTATCCTCCACGACGTGCTTCTTCAGCAGTTTGGAATTCGCCAATGTCTGATCGTAAGTTTATTTCTATATTTGAAAGGGGATAGGCTTAACTAAAGATACGTGCACTTGACACTACACATAAGGTGGGTCGGAACAGTCAGAGGTGTCGGAAATCGGTAAAGCCGGAAATCGGAACTGGCTCAAAAGTCGGAAATCAAATTTTTTTGGAAATCAGAAGGAAAAAAAGCGCCGGAAATAGGAATTCTCACTCGAATCCCACAATATGCACTTCATTAGAGTTTACTATTTTTGTCCTTAAAATATACAGCTAGGTGAGGTTCGACTGATAATTTGAAGATTAGTCTAAATAATTAAGAAAACGTGTTGAAGTTTTCTCAAACAGTTTCCATTAAATAAAAATATTTTTTCTTCTAAAGCAACTCCTGGCATTGGTCTCTATCAATCTAAGTTTGCTACAGCAACAAATGTTAAGGTCCATCCCAAAAAGCGTTGATTTTAAGAATTTAAGGAAATAAATTGTCTCCCCCAATAATTGTAAAATATAATTTATTTTTTTTTGTTTGTATAATTGAAACAAAAATGATTTGAATTTCCTTTTCTGTTTCTGGACATTTTTTTGGTAAATAAATTGTTTGATTAACAAATTTCGTCTTTTTTCTATATTGGTTAGTATAACCTCACTTTTCATTCATTTTTTACTTTGGATTATTGCTCCTAAGGAACGTGTCTGCTTAGATAATCTCATGAAAATTTACTTGCGGATAAGTTCGCGCAGTCAGGGGTCCTTCAAAAATTACTTGGCCACTAACTATCCTATAGTGATTAGTCACACCAATCTTTTGCATTTCGTTTTGGATTGAATAGCAATGCATTAGTGTTTCACTAGAACAAATATTTTGACCGGAACCGGACGCTTTAATTAAAGAACTACTAAAATAATCGAATTGTCAATTTCTGCTCTTAAAAATTTGACTGGTCAATAAAAAATGAAAAATGTTTTTTACTTTAATATCGTTCCCGAAAATGAAAAAAATATACTATACCATAAATCCTCTATTATAATATTTCTCTCCGAATTTCAAGTTTCTGTTAATGTTACCGGACTCAAAAAACATGCAAATGCATGTGTTGTATGCAGTGGGAAAATTTTCATATTTTTAATAAATATTTCGGCTTATTCTGATAAATTTAATCAAAAATTGGTTAAAATTTTTGCAAATTTTTGGCATTTTTAGGAATTTTGGTTTTTGAAAGTATTTTCTGGCAAAAAAATCAATTTTTTGAAAATAAGTTTTCCAAAAAATTTTGCCAAGAATTTAATTCTTTGCCAAGAATTACTTATAAATTATTGTAATTTATTTGTAATCAATTCTGAGCAAGAAGTTAATGATATTTTCTTAGATATTAAATTTTCGATAAAACCAGGTCAATTTTGTTTGCATAACTAGTGCGTACCAGGGTAGACGCCCGAAACTTTGTACCCGAAACCCGATACCCCAAAAGAAAATTTTCTAACCCGAAATGAAAACGCTCCAACCCGGTGCCCAAAACCCGTACCCGAAGATTTTTTGTACCCGCGGCAACCCTGGTGCATACTTCATGCATATATTTGCGCATATTTGGCTATCTTCCGTGCATATTTTGCGATTGCCTATATTTATCAGCTAAAATGTGGTACTCTAATAGAGGATTTAGGAAAGAGATAGAGTTCGATAAAGGCAATTTCCGTGAAAACAATCTTCCAAAACCAATCTTTTCTCTTCAATTCTTTCAACAATTTTCATCTTAATTTATCGACAGATCATTTCCATTCCCTCCATCTCCGTTTCCGGTTGCCTCACTTGATGGGTTTGGGATATAAACCTAATGAAAATATATAGTTAAAGAATTTTTGGTATATTTTTTGATAATGATAGGGAAATCTTTAAAATACCACTCAAATACTTTACCGTTAAAATTGAGTATTCACTATTTAAATGACAAAAGTATTATAACGACTATTAAAGTACCGATACCGAGTGGTACCGAAATTTACCAAAATCTCATCGGGACGGTTCCGGGAGTACCGAAAAGTACCGATTTGGTACTTTAGGGAGTACCGCGGGAGTACCGAACCGTGCCGAACACTAGACCGAATAATAATAATAATAACACTAGACCGAATAATAATAACACTAGACCGAATTGATTTACTATAAAAACGACCTCTCGAACTTGCTGTGGATGTTCTTTTACTCCAATTTCCAGTGTTAATTGAGGGCTATAAACCAAAGCATCATTCTTTAATTGATGAGTTATTTGGGCAACCAATTGTGGATTTATATAATGTTGTTGAACTTTTTCTACAAGATCGTCTTGGTTTTTTTCATATGCAGATGAAATTAGTTGGTATGGATTGTATGTATTGTTTGGTCTGCCCTCTCCGTGAATTCGAGACTCTTCAATTACCTCAAATTCTTCCATAGTTATTTCCCATTTATCAGTTGCTTAAATTACAAATTGAAATTAAACAACTTTTACTAATTATTTAAAGCTTTTAGATCCTATCCTATTAAATCATCTATTATAATATACACGGCTTGAATTACATTTTTCGTAAGATTGAGATAAGCTTGGGATCCTTTAAACAAAGATTTAAAATTCCCTCAACTATGATAGGATTGACTAGTCCATGATCTCCTTCCACTTCTCTTACATTCACTAAATATTGTTGCTAGAGCACCAACATTAGGGACACGCTCAAGTAGGCGCGCGGCCAAGTAGGCGCAAAGCCATAGCTACCTGGAAAATTTCTGGATCTTGATAATTTTGGTACCATTCTCTTTAGCTCGATGAGAGGAATCATTTAATACTAAATTTTGAAAGATTTGGAAATTTTGAAGCAAGTCATGGCTTTGCGCATACCTGGCCGCGCGCCTACTTGGGCTGTACCCCCAATATTACAGTACTACTGACAGTATTTCGGTATTCTGGATAGGCAGAACGGTACAGAATACCGGCCGATAGGATTCGAACATCTGTATTTTTGCGGTATTACTGTACAAAATAAACTTGAATATTACTCTCATTCAACCATTTTAGTAACTCTCGGCCATAAAAAACTTTAAACAGGCTTGAATGTTTATAACTGGAAGGACACTGGTTGGGACTTGATTAATTAATTTATTTACCTTTGAATTGGTAAATAATAGATTGGAACTCCTCATGATTTTGTTTGAAAATGCATAAAACAGGATAACTGAGTCCAAAATCTTCCTCGGCATCTTTAAGATTTTTGACCAGAGTATTGCCAGGTAACCAATTGAAAGCTGAAAACTGATCCATCATCATATTATATAGACGGTTTGCATTCATTTCATATTTATCCAATACACAAATATAAATAACAATTGATACTTTATGTCTAAAATTTAATTAAAATACTTAAATTAGTACTGGATATAGTTTCAAAAATTAAGTATTGTGGAATCGATGTTATTAGCAGTTCCGCATGTTGTAATCATGAGTATGCGCGGCTTATGGATTTTTTCGGTATCGGTACCGGTGCGGTAGTACCGTGCCGAACACTAATCATGAGTGAACTTCGCAGAATATAGGACATAGGAAAATCGCACGCAATGGGTGATTGAATGGAGAGCTCTAGATCAGGGGTCTGCGAGTTTCGCCTTTCGTCTTTCGCCGATTTTCGCCTTTTTTTGACTTTCGTCTTTCGCCTATCGCCGTTCCGTTCGCTTTTTAAAATCACTTTCGGCACACCCCTGCTCTAGATGGAGGGCTCTTCGTTATTTGGCCAGCTGGCAACTCTCAGCTGAATGAAGTGATCGACTTAGCTTATTTCATTACAGCTTATATGCACCAGATTACTTCACAATAGCTTCTCCAAAGGATAATGTAGTGGAAATGATAAGCCTATGAAAGAGAACGTCAGTTAGTGGCATTCTTTGCACCTTTTTGAGAACTTCTGTTACTTTGAGCAATGTTCAATGTTCACATGTTTTAATCACGGCCTTAAGATATGTACTTTAACAAACTTACAACTCATCCATTAAAGCGAAAATTCTCCCATCAGAATAATTATAAATAACTGACAAAATCAATTTTCGTGCCAAAATAAACAAATTGTATAAAATAAATAAATTTCTCTCCTGATATTTAATTTTAGTTAAATATTCTCCAAGTTGTTTAAATACTCGTCCATTGCTAAAAAATTTTTATGAAAATCAAGATAAGATATACAGGGTGCGTAAAAAGTTCCCGGAATTTTTAAAATTCCAACTATTGGGTTTAAACATTAATTATTAAAACAAAATTCGTTCACAATCATATTTAACACTATTTTTGGTTCAGAAAACATTTAGTCTATAAAAAATTTTCCGAGAATAGATGTCAAAAAGTCCTCTCAAAACTCCCCCAAAAATGTCGTTTTATTAAGCGCTTGGTCGCAGCTGGTTGGCTAAATGGGTGTTGTTTACTTAAATGAAAATTTTTGGTATTTATCGCCAATAACGGCAAAATCTATGCTTATGTCAATCAAAATGAAATTTTGAGGAGTGTTTTACTTACCTGGGAACAGTAACATGTTTGTGAAAATCATTTTATGTTACAACTTAACTGGGCTCCAGCACAGAGAGATAGAACAACAATTAACCTCGGTGCAGAGTTGTTTCGAGGATTTTGGGGAAAGGATATTTACCCAAGTAACTCACCAGACCTCAATCCAATGGATTTTCAGTCTTGTCTATGTTGGAGCAGAGACTCTCCTGAACACGATACACGGCAATAGAGGCACTTAAAACGGCATTAGAATATTCCTGGGCATCATTAACAGAAGAGGGTTGCGCGACCATAGAAGGAGTTTTTCGTAAGCGTTTGGATGCGTGTATCTCATCGGGCGGATCTCATTTTGAAAATTTGTTTTGACCATTTATTTACAAGATTCTTATAAACGTTATGTATTTGTAAACTTATTTTTATTTTGATATAAGAGAAAATAAATCCGTTTTGATTAATTCCGGGAACTTTTTACGCACCCTGTAGTAACGCATATAGCTATTTAATTCCCAAATCCATCTATATACATGTGTTCTGTCCCCGCTTACGTAGACGATCACTAACAGATACTTTATCACACGAAATGAAGGTTGAAGTATGAAGGAACTAAGGAAAAGAAGAACAAAGGAACTAGAGTGCGGAAAAATCGCATTCCCGAGATTAATCCCGTAATCCCGTTCGCTGCTAAAATACGGGATTTCGGGACAGGATCCCGCAAAATCCCGCTCGGGATCCTGTCCCGTCCGCACTCTATAGGAACTATTGGATAGCGTTTATACTAAAATTTTTAAGGGCTTTCGCACATAGACAACAATAAGGAGGGCTACCCAAAATGTTAATTTTAAAAGCACACTATGAAATAAACTTGTTTAAAAAGGTGTTTTAAAAAAATTGGATTAACTTTTTTAGACATTACCGAATTTGTAATAATGAAACAAATTTTTAACCCCCCCCCCCCCCCCCCCCCATTTGCCCACCCTTACTTTTATCCATAACTAAATATTAGCTGCCCATAAGTTTGTGAGCCAATTTAATATATAAACTTTACCCAATTTTCAATAATGAAACAGGAATATTGTTCAAATTTCGTTCATCACCAAACTCATTCATATCTAAACCGTGATTCTCAATAAATTGAACATATTCCTCTTCATCAACAATTTGTTTATACTCTTTAATTCTTCTGTTGATAAAATTAAGCTTATCTAATATATTTAACCAGTTATAATTTTCTTTGATTTGTTCTTCATAATTGTTAAGAATTCCTTCAGAATATTCTATCACCTGTAAATTAGGAGTGTTATCTATTGGGACGAGGGGGAAGGGGGTACAGGCAAGAAACTAACAACCCCATTAACTCTCTGGAACCAACTGAAAAAATGGCAAATTTTGCATATCAATGGAGGAGATTTTTAGCGGAAGAGCTTAAAAAGATGGAATTCAACGGAAGCTAATGAATGGATTAATTATTTATAGTCCTGCTGCAGACCTCGCTGAGATAAAGCTTAAATAAGTCGACTAAGAAGCAAACCCAAAATAGGAATCGGGCTGTTTTTCTGGGCTAAAATCTTGAAAACCTGCAAATTGGATAAACCGGATCTTATCAAAATACACGGTTTCATGTCCGAAAGCCCTTGGCCGAGTCCGAACTCTAATAGAAACAGTCTTTAAATCAAGGATGTTTATTTGGCATTTTATGCCGACTCCAAATAGCTCGCCGAACCATATACTACACTGCCTTCAATCTTATCAATATCATCCTCCCTTCCTTACCGCTCTTATCTTTCGTATAAAATTGCCAACGAAAGGACCATTTGGTTCAATTTCTTTATTTTCGCTTAATACTTCAGCTCCTCTCGCATTGAGAATTTCTTTAAAAGAACCATAATTTTTGTAATCAACTTCTTTAATTTCATCTAAAATATTCATCAGAAAAGAAAACTCGGAAAGAGAAAACACATTCAGATTAGTATTCGGCTCGCCTCCACCAGTTTGCATATTTGCTAAATTTTTAAAAATTAGGCCTAAGTCAAATCAAGTCGGATTTTGCTGATTTTGGTCTTATTAGACTCAGAACGAGGAGCGCTTTCGAATGAGCTATTAGTTTCATTTTCGAATTTTTCACCCCAAAAAAGTGCATGCCACCCCTATGGTTTTTCGAAATTTAGTGGGATGTATCTAGCTCACGGTTGAGTCCGCAGACTAATTTTGGTGTCGTTCGCCTCAGCTCGAGGAGCTCTTTCGAATGACATATAAATCATCCATATCTGGATTAGAACCATAAAACGAACTTTAGCCAAAAATTATTTAAAAAATTTTCTTAGTTTTCAAATAAAAATTGTAAAAATAAACTCTGTGATTATTTAATTTTAAAGTTACCATGAGGATTGTGCATTCCTTTGACAATTAGAGGAGCAAACCCAACAAAAACCAAGACAATTAATGTCTTGGAAAATGTATTAAAATACATTTTTTAAAGGATTTTGTTTAAAATTTTTTAAATAAAACTTGAGAAAACTTTTTTACTGAGGGGAAGCTTTTTAAAGATAGTAATGAAAAAATTTAATAGGGAAATGAAGAAATCCCCTCGTCTTTATAGAGAATAAAATGGGTGGAGTTTGCATATGTAAATGTAGATATACGCGTGCAATAGGGATTGGTCGAGTTAACCGAATCCCGCCTTATTTCGACTCGAAACCAACCCGAGAAAATTTCTTTTTCAAAACCCCGACCTGAAACCCGACCCTGCTATTTTGGCATAAGAGGTGAGAAAATTCTATTATTAAAACTTTTATGGACTGTTAAGGGATTTTGGTGTGATATCGAGGGTAGTGTTGATCGGGATCAGGATCCCGACCTAAATCGGGATTGGGATTTTAAATATCAACCCAGATCCCAACTATAAGATCGGGAATGGTCTGCGCCACAGGCGAAGAAAACTCTCTTTCATTTCTTCTCACACCTTTCTTTCACTCAAATATTTCGTTCCACTAATATTCTCGCATATTTATAAAATCGGGGTTTGCATCGGGATCCGATTGCTAATCCCGGCTCTGGATCGGGATTGGCCGAAATCGGGATCGGAATATATATTTCGGGCTCGGGACCAGAAAAATCGGGGTCGGGATTAAAAAAACCCGGATAATCCCGCACGATCCCGACCGGGATCCCAATCCCGCTCAACTCTAGTTTCTACTGATAGTAGAGATGAACTGAGTCGAACATTATTCTAATTTTTGGAGTATTTAAATAATAATATTGGGAGGTGTGTCGAGTTTACCGTGTTTTCGGGTTAGCCGACTTTTGCGGACCCGCACTTGCGGACCGACATTTGCGGATTCGCACTTGCGGACCGACACTTGCGGACCGACACTTGCGGACCCGCAGTTGCGGACCGACACTTACGGACCGACTTTTGCAGATCGACACTTGCGGACCGACATTTGCGGACCCGAAATGAATTTTTTAAAAATTATATAGGAACGGTTTTAGTTATAAATCCGGAGCCTATCCAAGCAAATTTTTTCTTTCTTTTTTTAACCCTATTCATTTTCTTGTGCTTTATTTAAAAAGGAAAGTTTTTGACTTCTGGGGCGATATTCTAAAATCTAGGTAAATGGTAACTGATTTGGAGTGGTTTAAGTTTGGATTTGGAATGGTTTAAGTATCGATGAAATTAAAAAATTACTTTCAGAATCTATCAATTTGGAAAAAAATTTAAAATTTAAATCTTAAAATCATTTATTTTTGTAATGAAAGATAAAATAAAATCATCTTTATTTCTGAAACGGTGTTATAACTTTTTCTGGAAGGGGTTTTGGTCTAGGATAAATGTGAAAAATGATTCGGGATCAGGTCGTGTGCATCTCTAATTTTCATTTTTAAATAAATTTCTATTAAATTTTTTGAAGTATTTATTTTTTAAATTCCTTTTTATTTTTTATTTAATTTCGGGTCCGCAAATGTCGGGTCCGCAAGTGTCGGTCCGCATATGTCGGTCCGCATGAGTCGGTCTGCAAAAGTCGGTCCGCAAGTGCGAATCCGCAAATGTCGGTCCGCATGTGTCGGTCCGCAAGTGCGGGTCCGCAAATGTCGTTTAGCCGTGTTTTCGAGGTTTTAGCCCAGAAAACCCGGCCCGGGTCAATTTTAATGAAAAAACCGGATACCGGGCAAAAGTTCGAGCTCTAATAACAACCCCGATCTCGATCCCGTATCTCTAATTTTGGAGGATTTAAATCAATAAAATCCTGACTAATGTTTATATTGGTTTAAGCTTATGTCCATAAATCAAGACAGTTTTTTGTTTTTATATAAATTATTCTTATAAATTAATTTTTAAAATATACATATGTATTTAAATTAAAGAGAAAAAATCTATATCGAAATTTCGAGACAGATCTTTGAATTTTAATTTATTTAAACAGTAAATAAATTTTTAAATAAGAATATTATCTAAAAAAATCAATTTTTCGAAGAAAAAGCTTTTAGATAGTCAAATGCCCTTTTAAGAAAAATTTTAAGGGAAGTAATATAATTAAATATAAAATTTAATAAATTAAAAAATCAATTTTTAAATTAATTTAATTATAACAGAAATAAAAATTAAAAAAATAGTTTAAATTAAAATTTATTTTTACTAAGAAACTTGTAGTGTAATGTTATAGTGTTGTGGTTGTAATTGTTTGGGAGAGTGCCGGAAAATTGGGCTCTGGATTGGGCCCAAAATTCCTCTGGAGCCCAAAATTTTAGAGCCCAATTTTCCACTTTTTTCACGAAGAGCCCAAATTTCCGCTGGAGCCCAATTTTCCGAAAAATCTTGGAGCCCAATTTTCCGGACACCGTTTGGAAGGGGGAGGGAAGTTGGATATCTGTTGGCCAAAGATTAGTTGTTTATTTTTATTAATTTATTTAAATTCGAGTTGAGCGGGATCGGGATCCCGACCTAAAATCGGGATTGGGATTTTTGAATAACAACCCCTGTCCCGATCCCGTATCGGGAATGGTCAAAATCGGGATTTTGGAATAACAACACTGATTCCTAGTCCCGGCTGTACTTTAGTACGTGGGTGCAGGCTTTAATATACAAATGTTATACTATTTGAAATAGCTAGTTGAGCTGAGTTGATGACACCAAAATTAGCACGAGGAAAATTTCTGGGCCGAAATATAGGTCCCTGAAAATTGAAAAACCATAGTAAGCTGGCGAATTATTGAAGTAGGGGGAATTGTGAAGCTGGCGAAGTCTAGGCGAATTTTTATTTTGATGAAAAATGCAGAAACATGTCAACTGATTTGTGAGATACAGATAGAGCTTTCGAAAAAATTTTCTAGTGTTTCTAAACATATTGCCAACACTGTATGTTTTTGTATTCGCGAATTATTGCAGTGAAACTTTCTAATAAGAATATATCACCTTATTTAGATTATCTAATAGTATTGTAAGGAAGAGAAAGATCCAGCTGGCTAGCATTTAAAACGCTCACTAGGCGGGGGTTTAAGATCTAATAAAAGAGAAGGTGAAATGCAGCGTCGCGGTAGCTCAGTCGGCAGAGCACCTGTACGTGGTGAGCGAAAGCGCCTAGCAATAACCGCCAGGAGGTTGCAGGATCAAGGCCTGGCCGGGATTAAACTTTTACCTCGCTCTTAATGTACATATTAGTTTATCAAAATAAAAAATTAGTTTATCTAATTAAAAATTCTAAACCTTATTTTTTAATAATAAATTCACTATTTTCTCCAAACAATTAATATTTAACATAAAATTAAAATCCCACGACATGTTTATCAAATATTAAACAAAATTTTCTCAAAAATATTTTTTACATTTAAAGGGCGTGAGAACATTTTAGAACTTTTTAATGAGAAATTTTAAAGTAATTTTACCATTTAATTAGAAAAAAAAATTAAAACGCTGTAAAGCTTAATAAAATGTCCTTGGATATACTTGATATTTTATTTAAAGTTGATTATTTTGTCTGTTTATTAATTGGGTTTCCTTTAAATATTATTCTGATTATTTTAATTATTTTTAAAACACCAGAAGAAATGAAAACACACAGTCGAATTCTGATACAAAATTGTGTTTTGGATATTTTATTGTTGGTTATTCAAATGTTTCTTCAAGGGGTATTTACTAAATCAGAAAATATTTTGAATTAATTTTATTTATTTAAAAAAATAATTTCAACGAAAGGGGGTCCACTTACATCGTTGACCTGTTTTAAAACAGAATATTAAGAATTAAAACAGAATTTTAAAAGAATCGAAATAACTTGAAACATAAGCATTCTTTTATTTTCAAAAGCAAAATCTTGGTACCATTAATTTCAATTTTTTTTTATTAAATTTGAAATGTTTACGTGAAATCTAGAAAATATTTTGAAAAAATTTTATAGTTTAGCACAAATAAAAATGCTTTTCTGGAAGGATTATCGGTAATAGTTTGGAATTCGCCCCCCCCCTTTTTTAACTGTTTCCCTGATCATTTTGAGCTTTTTTGTTTGATAAATAATTTATCATATATCATTCGAAAGAGCTCTTCGAGCCTGGTTGAATGATATCATAATTGGCTAGATCTGCCATTCTTACCAAAATTCTGAAGCTAAATCCTATTTGGGTAAACTTTTTGTCCCAATGCAAGGGGATAAAATAAGCGGTCACAACTTTGTACACTTAAGTCAGATCTCGTTGATTTTAATGTCATTCAGCTCAAAGAGCTCTTTCGAATGATTTATAATTTGCCATAAAATGAGAAAAAACTAGGAAAAAAAAAGAAAGGAAAAAGAGGGGGGGGCGAATTCCAAACTATTACCGGATTATTTATTTTTAATCAAAACTTTAATTTTCTTCAAAATATGTTGACAGATTAGAGCCTCAGGAATCCTGCTATTGCCCTGCAATCATTCGAACTCAACTTGAAAATAATTGAGCTTTTTCAGAATATTTCTGAAAAATTATTTAATTCTCTAAACAATTTTATATTTATTTATAGTTTTATATAATTGGCACAGAAGGAAATCCGGTTATAATAATTCCTAATGGAATTTTGCTTAGTTTAATGAAGGAAGATTTTAATTCATTTATATGTTTCATTGTTTATGCTTTCTGGACCTATATTGGTAATTTAAATTCGCATGGATTGTGTGTTCAATTTATTTATAGATATTTGGTTTTGAATAGGTAAATGTAATGCTCTATCTTAGGACATGCGTCCCATGGACTTTTATGCGTCCCATGAAAGTATATGCGTCCCATCAACAAAAAATTGGATTTTTCATGGTGTTGCAAAGTTGAGGTATGGTTTCAAAGCATTTCTTCATGTTCGGGACTATGTCCACTGGGTCTGGGACCGTTACTCTATCCCTCTAAATTTTTGAAGGTTAAAATCGTTTTTATGAAATTTTTAAAAATTGGCCATAACTTTCAGAAATTTCGAGGGATAGGGTAAGGAACGGTCCCAGACCCAGTGGACGTAGTCCCGAACATGAAAAAATGTTTTGGACCCATACCCCTACTTTCCAACAGCAAGAAAAAATTAATTTTTTTGTTGATGGGACGCATATATAATATTTTCATGGGACGCATAAAAGTTCATGGGGCGCATGTCCTAAGATAGAGCCAATGTAATTATCTCTCCTCAAATAAATATATTATTAGGAATATGAAAATTAATTTTTGTCGTTATTTATTTATGTTCTCCTTTGTTTTATTAGTAGATTTATTTTTTAATTTGGATTCATCTTTCTTTCATAACCAATATTCCTTTGGAGGTATTAAATATTTTGATAATTTAAACAAAACATTGCCGTTTATTCAAAATAAAGTGGAAATGGTAATTTTTAAATTAAATTCGGTCTAAAATTATATTCAAAAATATAGCCAACAATTTTGACAATTTTACCCATGATTTTAATTGAAATATCCACATATTTAATAATTATTATTTGTGGGTACAAAATGGTCAGATATGTCAAATTAAACACTAATTTTGATGGAAATTTAAAAAGATTGAATAAACTGTTAACAAAAGTTTTGATTCTTTTGGTTTGTTTTTTAATTGAAAATTTGTTTACGAAAAGATAATATGTACAATAATAAGGGCCTCTACTAGTGATACACCGGAACTGAAATTTTGACTGGAACCGGATCCAATTTGAGTTGCTGATACCGAAACCGGAACCAAAAAATGCCGGAACTTTCCGGAACCTGAACTTCCTGTGAAACTCTACCTGCTATCCAGAATTAATAAGTAGTAATAAACTTGGAAACAATAAAAGGCGGAAAACGATTCAAAATATGTAGTTGCTAGTTATTATGTTGTGAGACATATATGAGAGAATAACAAAGGATTTCATGAAAAAATATAATTGTAATATTATTTAATGAATAGAACTTTAATGAATATAATTCTTATTTAAATATATTTTTTTCTGCAAATATATGCAGTTAATTTAATAATAATTTTATGCGGTTAATTTTATCCGATTATGCGGTTAATTTTCCGATATTATGATTTTGAACAAAGTTACATTTCAATTAGGGTTGTTGGCGGACGGTTAACCGAACCGGAACCGTTAACCGGTGTTTTTGGCGAATTAACCGAAACCGAAAACCGGGGGTAGAAAACCGGCGATAACCGAAAACCGAGGGTACCGGTTAATAACCGGTCGCCAACAACCCTAATTTCAATATATTTCGATATTAAGCCAAATTATCCATTTTTTCAATATTTAGCTTATGCGATTTTATTTCAACAAAAATCCGCACACTAGTAATAATAAACGATTAATACTAAATTAAAATGATTTATATGGGTATAATTTAAAGTATAAAAACATTTTTTAAGAATAATTTTTTAAGTATAAAATTAATTAATTTCTATTAATTTTTAGGCTACTCTACCATTTATTACTCAAGCTGGAGTTTTATTTATGATTTCTTCACAAACAAGTACCTATACGACAAACATTATTCGAATATTAATCCACATTTATTTACATTTAATACCCGTATTTAACCCGATTATTTGTATTTTAACAAACACACCATATCGAAATGCTGTTTTTAATCGTGCACAAATACATCCACAATAATTAGATAAAAATATTTTTTATAAATTGTTTTTCATGTTAGTGCATTGAGATTGCCGTTTTGGGGTAAACTTATTGGTATTTTGACAAAATTTACATCATTTTGGGAGAATTTTGGACAATTTTAGTGTTATTTTTCCCAGAAACATCCAAAATATGCAGCAAAGTCCGAAATATGCAAAAATATGCATTATATGTAAATAGAACCCCCTCTAAAGTTTTCAAAACATGCGGAAACTGGTGTTTTTTGTGCATTATACGTCAAGACAAGTTTGGTAAAATAATATGTATTTGCATAAAAATCCGGGCTCCAAATATATTTATTTATTATTTTCAGTAGTTATTTTTCCGAATTATCAAGTTTTGTTATAATTTTAAATTTTTTCTCAGCGAAAATTGTAATAAAAATCCCACGATTTGTTTGCGTTAAACATTAGAAAAATTAAAAAAAAAATATTTTTTTATGTTAAAGTGAATATTTGAAACTTGATAAAAACTTTCAGTTAATTTTATATTCCTTTTGTTATAAAACATTTGAAAGAATATTAATTTTTAAAATCCAATGGTCGACAAAACGATAGGGACAAGAGTAAGTGAACTGAGGTTTTTAAAAAATCTTATGAAACTTCAAAATCTAACTAAATTTACCAAATTTTATCAAAAATACGATAAATCGTTTGTTATCAAATTCATCTTTTTAATCCAAGCGTCGGTTTGGATGCGCATTTTGGTGATAATTCTCATAGAAACCCCAAATTTTTAAATAGCTCCACAAGCGAAAATTTTGTTTGATAAGAGCCAGAATCTTCCAAGAAAACTAAACTTAATCCTAAAGCACAAGGGTTAAGAGATTATTTTTCACTAGAATTATTACTAGAATTATTCTTCAATGCGATTGGGTAGATTATGGGGTATATAGAATGATATCAGAGGATTAAGAGGGGATTAGGAGGATATAGGGCTATTCCCTCTTTTTGCGCCGCAGGCAAGAATTTTGTAAATTTTTCAAGATACTTAAGCTAAAGAGGTTCCAGTTCCAAACCGGTTCAAGACATTTTTCGGTTCCACGGTTCCAGTTCTACTGCCGGGCTCGTAGCAAATGATCATAGCTTATTACCAGAAAACCTCGAAATGTTATTGACACTTCACAATATTTAACTTAAATTCGAAGTGATTAAATTCCTTTATCTCCATTTTTAAAAATTGCGGATTGCGAGTTTCGGAAATTGCGCAAATTGCGGGTTTTTAGCAAATGCGAGTTGCGGATTGCGAGTGCGGATTAAAAAAAATTTTTTTGCATGCAGCTAAGCTTTTAAGAGGCAATCGACAATTCAAGGCATCGACTGCCTTTTTTAATTTTCAATAAAAAAATTTAATTTTATTGAATATTACACATGCTAGGAGTAAAAATTTACCCACACCACCTCTCTTTACACTTAGCTCATAAAAGTCCTTTCTTTCTTTCGCAAGACACGCGCGACTTGGATACATAAATGTATAATAAATATTATTATAGTTTGAATTTATTAAAAAAGTA